CAAAGAGCCCGAGAAACCCACAACAGCAAAAACCCACAACAACCATTAGTTCCCGGCAGTGAAAGCCTTTGCGAATACATTACCATAGTCACTTGATACTGAGGGATTCCTACCCTGTGTAATCCTCAGCACCAATTATATTTTATCAAGGAACACTAAACAAAAGAAAAGACGTAATGGCCTTTAAAAGATTAGCTGCTATATTTTAATATAAACTTTTCTATAATATGTCACTTCCCAGTGAGAATTCCACTAAATTGTTGTTGCAGTATGTGCCCTCATGTCACTCCTGACTTACTGCAATTCTGTGAACGAATGACCTCCAGAAGGACCTGTTGTTGACAGCCCTACTCAACTGTGTGGATTCCTCTATTGAGTCAATCCATCTTGTGTTGCGACTTGCTCTTTTCCTACCACCTTCACTGCTATTTTCTGTCAGTACTGTGGTGTCTTACATTTATGGATGTTTGTTGCATAAATCTCACTTCATCTTTATCTGACTCTGTAATCCACCTTTTCATATAGTATGTTCTGCATGTAGTTTGAACAGACAGGGAAATAAAATAACGCTTTCTCTAACACCTTTGCCAAGGGGAAAACATTCTGTTTCTCCATAATATGTCCTAAAATTCGTCTCCTGCCCAGAGTATATATTATTCATCAGGACAATAAAACATTGTGGCATGTTCATTTTATTCAGAACAATGCGTAGCTTTTATGATCCAGAGTCAGGCAGTGGAAGTCTAAGATTGTCCCCTTCTTGCTTACAAAAGACACCAACTGAAGTAATGTGGTGGGATATTGGGCAAGCTACAGTGTGTTGTACTGTGTCTTGTAACCCATACGGTCGATTAACAGGACTTTGGCATTCTCAAGATTCCCTTCCAATAGCTGCACTGATTAAGAACTCCTGAAAAGGGAGATACAAGGAGAGGCTAAAGGAGCCCTACTTTGCTACGTAATTCAAGCCTTTGATACTGTGTGGACAGCTGATGTCATGGGGTATCCAAAACTCTGCTTTATTGATGTTGATGTTACTGTGAGTGCCATCGTCCACTTATGTTTTATGTGATGCTTTAGAGAATACAAACAATAATATTTTGCGTAGACATGGACCGAATAATGAGCAAGCATATGCAACCCTGTATGAATTCTTGTTCCATGGACTGGTGGCAAAGATAATATGTAACAAGCCCTCTCTTTCCCCAACTGGAGGCTCCCCTGTGTGGGAGTGTATGAATGGCGCTTGCTTGGTTCCTGTTGGGTTAGAAGCCTATGTGAGAGCAGGCCCTATTGTACTCAGTGGGACTCCCCTGTAATATGCATAAATCAAAAGCAGGGTGAGTCTTCATGTAAGAGCAATGAGTTTGTCTTCGTTTGAGCACTGGCTTTGAGTTGACTACTCTGCATGGTGGTTATGAGCCACAAGCCCTGTGTCAAACCTGTTACTGAAATAATAACTATCGACTATACAGCATCTTAAAAAGCTGAGACATCTTGCCAACAAAGGTCCTGTTACCCCAATTGGATCCATGTTCTTTATATCCTGGGGAGAGGGACCATGAGAAGAGAGAGAGAGACTACTAACAAGAAGACCATACACCAATAATTTTAGGTTAAGCACTATTCATGTAACATTTATTGATGAGACATAGGATATAAGACAAAAGGTACCAAGAGGCCTCTCTTTTGTACTTCCCATTCACACAAGATACTCACTCATCCAGAAGACCCTTCTCTGAGGGTGATCAATCCTCAGAAAGGGTGGTGGAGGTCGTTCCAGTACTGTTCCAAAGCCCACCTGTTTCTTCCTGGGCCATCCTTCTTATAGATCTTTTCCTTGTGGGCTATGTTAATGGGCTAAACCTGGGCTGGCACAAGCACATGGGGGCAGACCCTGGCTTGCTTGGCATATACAACTTGTTGTCATGCAGGAATGCTTCCTTCCACATGTTCTGGTTCCATCTGCCACAGACTTGACATCAGCTAGTCTGCTTCCTGTTTCTTAAGCTTGCTTTCTCCAGTTTTCGTTATATTTGGACTTCTTGCCCCAGTTCACTTCCCTCTTGTCTGGGCACAACAACTGCAAAAATCCAAACCTTTGCCCACACAGTGGTCTCTTATTAATAACGAAACTGTCTCTGTCTGCAACTTGCATCTTTTGGAAGCTCTGTATTAGGCACACTAATTAGGCCCATGTTGTGCTGAAGAGACTCCAGGTGCTTGCAGACAGAGTCTATCCAGAATCACAGTTGATGATACAGCCATTGTTGCCCAGTCGCTGAAGACCTCCAAGAACTCATGAATTGTTTTAGCAAGGCCTGCCAAGACTTTGGACTATCAGCCTGAAGAAAACCCAAGTCCTGGGCCAGGGCGTGGACTCACCTCCCTCTATTACCATCTCCATGTAAGAATTGGAGGTTGTCCATGAATTTGTGTACCTTGGCTCAACAATCTCTGACACTCTCTCCCTAGATGTCGAGCTGGATAAACACATTGGCAAAGCAGCTACCATGTTCTCAAGACTCACAAAGAGAGTATGGCTCAATAAGAAGCTGATGACATATACCAAGATCCAGGTCTATAGAACCTGTGTCATGAGCACACTCCTGTACTGCAGTGAGTCCTGGACCCCTCATGCACAGCAGGAAAGAAAGCTGAACATGTTCCATATGTGTTGTCTCCGACACATTTTTGGTATCACCTGGCAGGACAAAGTCCCAAATAGGGTAGTCCTACAATGAGCTGGGATTTTTAACATGCATCCATTACTGAAACAGTGATGTCTACGTTGGCTTGGGCATGTTGTAAGAATGGCTGATGGTCGGATTCCTAAAGATCTCTTGTATGGAGAATTAGTGCAGGGACATTGCCCCAGAGGGAGGCCACAGCTGCGATACAAGGATATCTGCAAGCAGGATCTGAAGGCCTTGGAAATGGATCTCAACAGATGGGAAACCCTGACATCTGAGCGTTCAGCCTGGAGGCAGGCGCTGCATCACGGCCTCTACCAGTTTGAAGAGAACCATGTCCAGCAGGCTGAGGCAAAGAGGCAGTCACGAAAGCAGCAAAATCAGGGAGCTAGATGGGGTACGGATTATATTTGTCCTCAATGTGGGATTGTCACTCTCAAATTGTCCTTCTCAGCCACACTAGACACTGTTCCAAGTCCTCCATGCAGAGCACAATACCATAGTCTCTCGAGACTGAAGGATGCCTATTCATTAGGCTCACTATCCCATCTTCCCTTGCAATATCTCCATCTTCTTCTCAGGTCTGGGGTACTGGTCTTTCTGGAACCCACACACACACACTGTCACACTCTGTCACTCATAACAGTATGCATAGTCAAAGCTATGGTTTTTCCAGTAGCGATGTATGGAAGTGAGAGCTGGACCATAAAGAAGGCCAGTTTTTTACTGGAGGAGACTCTTGAGCATCCCCCTGGACTGCGAGGACATCAAACTTATCCATTCTGAAGGAAATAAACCCCGAGTGCTCACTGGAAGGACAGATCCTGAAGCTGAGGCTTCAATACTTTGGCCATCTCATGAGAAGAGAAGACTCCTTGGAAAAGACCCTGATGTTGGGAAAGTGTCAGGGCAAGAGGAGAAGGGGACGACAGAGGATGAGATGGTTGGACAGTGTCATCGAAGCTACCACCATGACTCTGACAAAACTCCAGGAGGCAGTGGAAGACAGGCGGGCCTGGCGTGCTCTGGTCCTTGGGGTCACAAAGAGTCGGAGATGACTTAATGACTAAACAACAACAAAAATACAATAGTTGCATCACTCAGTGAGGTGTACTGGATAGAGCAGGACACAGGAGCCTTGGATTCAGTTCTCCAGCTCTACAATGGAAACTCACTGCAGAGATGGAACTGGTAAAATTATTCCTTATACTTCACCTTGAAATCCTATTAGGGTCGCTGTTGACAGTGTATAACAATATCTTGCATCTAGATAACCACCGTGGTGTAGTGGAAAGAGTGGCAACGCAGGACTTAGAAAACCTGGGCTCAAATCCTTGCTTGGAGTGGAAACGTATGGTAGGTGTGGGAGTGGTAATGTCGTCGTTTAGTCGTGTCCGACTCTTCGTGACCCCATGGACCAGAGCACGCCAGGCCCTCCTATCTTCTACTGCCTCCCGTAGTTCTGTCAATTTCATGTTGGTTGCTTCACAGACACTGTCCAGCCACCTCATCCTCTGTCGTCCCCTTCTCCTCTTGCTGTCACACTTTCCTAACATCAAGGTCTTTTCCAGGATGTCTTCTCTTCTCATGAGACGGCCAAAGTACTGGAACACTCAGGTTTGATTTCCTTTAGAATTGATAAGTTTGTTCTCCTTGCAGTCCAGGGGATTCTCAAGAGCCTCCTCCAGCACCACAATTCAAAGGCATCAATTCTTCGGCGGTCTGCTTTCTTTATGGTCCAGCTCTCACTTCCATACGTCACGACAGGAAAAACCATAGCTTTGACTATTCGGACTTTTGTTGGCAAGGTGATGTCCTTGCTTTTTAAGATGCTGTCAAGGTTTGTCATCGCTTTCCTTCCAAGTAGCAGGAGTGGTAACACCGCTCCTTAAATCTCACTTACCCTCAAATCCCTATTACGGTCGCTGTATATCGGATGCAACTTGATGGCATGCACACACAGAGTTGCATCTGTAGATAGTTTTTTTCAACTAATTATTGAATATCTAAGATAAATCACATTTTCCGTACACAACCAGGCTTTAATATGAGAGGTCACGTGTAGTGCAAGTTTTGCTTCCAGTTTTTTTAAGGCATGTGAGTGGAGGTAACGACACCACTGTTCCGATTACAGCTTTGCTCAAGCCTTCGGGTTAGATTTCTGTTTCGTCCCGTACGACCCACTTACTTTTGCCACCCCTCTGCAAGGAGGGAAGCACCGATGTCAAAAATAACCAGGAATTCTCCTCTTCGCCCAAAGAAGCTATTATACCAGAACCGCTATATACCTGTTCCACCCATTTCGTCTTTAAAGCACCATAGAGTCGTAAACCACGCCCCTTCCGTCCTCTTGACTCGTCTCCTCCTTCCCGTCGTTCTTTGCGCGGTTCCGGCTCTTTTCTTTCTTTTTTTTTCCGGGCGCTCCCGACGCCGCCATGGTGAGTCTTGAGAGCGAGGGGGATTGGGGTTTGAATCGGTCGCCATCCTCTACGGGGAGGCGACGGGGACTCCCGTGCGGCCTTATGGCGGGGTGGAGAGGGGCCAGGAGTACCCCGGGGGGGGATCCTTTTGGGCAGTTATTCCGGCGCCTGAGGAGACGTGGACGTGGAGAAGGGCTCTTACCGAGAAGCTGGAATTGGGGCCTAGGAGGGTTGCAGAGCTAATCCAGCGCGTTTGGAGGGAGTCGCTCAAGATCGGGCGGGCAGAGGGAGGGGACGCTACGAGTGCGTGGGCTTCCACTTACGTTTGTGGAAGGCTAGCAGGTACACGGCTTCGTTATTTGCCACGGGAAGAAATGTCCAAAGCCCGGCGCCTTGCTCTATCCGAAATGTGCCCTTTTCGTTCGGACATACACAGGCCCTCTGTCCTTCCCCCGAACAGGAAAAATAGGCTTTTGATGCTGGAACCCCCCCCCCCTTTTTTAAAGTGGTGTCAAAATACTGTATTTTCCAGAACCGTCAGTACCTCTTAATAGAAAGTCTTGGATGAAACAATATGTATAGATCCTGAGCAGTAAAATGAGGTGTAAAATATATAGAACTGGGGGGGGGGGTATGGCTCCTAGCAAAGAGGACAAACGAAATATGACATTATTTTTTGGCAGAATGTTTTGCCTTGATTTGTAGGCACAAGTAAGTGGGGAAAGGAAGTAGGGCAGCCGTATTGGGAGTGAACTTGTGAATAGACATGTACTATTGATCGTTATTGAGGGGGGGAATTGATAATGGGTGGTCTGGTTAGCAGTCTTATAGGAAGACGAGGGATGAGCCTTGTTAGGATACATACAGAAAATGAGGGTTGAAGTGCTAAGATCTGTTGCGTGTGAAACCAGGCAGTGGTGAAGAGCGCGTAGTGCTGTTTTGAACAAGGGATTTCGATGGACTATGTAAAAATGAAGATGAACTTGTGCCTTAACTGTAAATGGATTACTGCACTTTAGCTTTGAATCAAAGACAGGAGAAAAAGACTCTTCCCCATCTTCCTTGGCAAGCTTGAGACAAAAAGTAACTTTCACCAAACTACTGCAGAAATCTTTGATACATTCTGCACATGTGATTATATTTGGGGTGGGGAGTAGTTGCTTAATGGTTTATGTCAGAGTTGGACAGGTATGAAGGGTCTGGATGTTAAGTCCTCTTCTATTTTTGTGGGTTTGGTTTGTGGGTAACTGAGTCTCATTCTACTGCAAAATAATCACTCCTGGAGGGTTTGAGGAGCAGAAATTGATTCTTTTTTAAAACATATATTTTACGTGGGGAGCCACAAGTGCAGCTTGGAGGACTGTGCTTTGCTTCTGCTTTAAATATAGCTATTGTACTAGTTAGTATAATTCTTGTATATATTATTTTTTTTCTGCACATCACTCACTTGAAAAGTCCCTTTTTGCTCTTCTTTATAATTTGAGGAGTACCTTTCTTTTCCCTTTTTATCTTTTCACCTAGAGGTGAAGGTGTGGTAATGACAGCATCCTCATAATCTGCATTAGGGTTCTTTTCACAACTCTTCTGAGAGGAGTGGCATTTCTGGCCTCTTCTGTGTAGGAAGAAATGAAGCTGAGAGGGAAATTATTTCTATGTGACAACTCTTCTTATTTTACTCAGAGATGTACCTCCCACTATTCAGAGGAGGGTTCTCCATAGTTCAGAACTGAGTGACTGTGTACCTCCAGATGCTTTTGACCTATAACTCACATCAACATTAACCTGCATAGCCAAAGGGGAAGAAATATGGGAGTTGTGGTCCAAAAATATCTGGAAGGCCACAGGTGTCCAGCTCTTTCCTAGTATGTATATTGGAAGTTGCAGTATAAGGCATTTGAAAGCACTTGTGTTAAAAATGTACCTTGAGGATGTGGCTGGTGGAGAAGATTGTCTTGGGGATGCATAAATTTGATTCCATCTATATATTTGCATTGCAGTACTGTACTTTAGGATGAGAGGGTTTCTCCTGGTTTAGTTGGGTAAAACTTGTAATGAAATCTAAGGAAGTTTTAAAAAAAGGAGATCAGCAGGGCAGAAACCAAAGAAACATCTGTGGGGAAGGGTTTCTATAACTAACGGGCTGCCATTGAAAAGGCCTGCTCACATATAGCTGAATCTCAACATTACTCCAAGCTTACTTGGAGCAGGACTTCTGAAGATGTTAGGTCAAAGGTTAGTACATGTATGGAGGCCTGGCTTCAGATACTACAGTCCAAGCCAGGAAGATGTTGGGTCAAAACCAGCATTTCCAAGTCTGGAGATGAACCAGGTACCAGTATACCTGGTATGCCATTCGTGCAATATGCTGCCAATGCCCATTTCCAGTCAGTATTCCTGTTGCTATATTCATCCTAATTAAATTTCCCAATTTTGATTTAAGTTGAAAGCTCATCACTTCAGCTTTTTCAGAAGCAAGTGGTTTTGCTGTGTGACAAAGAAGCAAAACTTTCCAGTATTTGTCAAGAAGCAGATGCATATGTTAAATGCCATGTGTCTTGACAGTCTATGAACAGTTCAGAACAGCCTGGCTTGTTCCCACCAATCTGAATGCTTTTTCTTGGCCAGGGAGTTGACATTCGCCACAACAAGGACCGGAAGGTTCGTCGTAAGGAGCCTAAGAGTCAAGATATTTACCTTCGTCTCCTGGTCAAGGTGAGAACTGGGGCAGTCAATGATCTGTGGGTTCAGATGTAGGCGAAAGCCAGCATTTGTGGTGGGTATCATCTCCATCTGCATTTAACTACAACATACTATTAAAAACATGCCCATGGCAGAATAAATGATTTTCTGCATTCTGCTCTGTTTTTAATGTGTATTCAAATAACAGGTGGACTGTGATGTCCAATTTGAATATCATACTTTGCGAAGACATTTACAAAAACAATATACTTCGAGACAAGGGCCTCCTGGATGCTGAGGTACCTATGGTAAAAGTTAGTGGGGATGGCATGGGGGAAAGGTGGTTATTTTTAGCCTAGAGCAGGGGTCTCCAAGCTTTTCAGTGTAAGGACCACATAATGTATGTTCCACGTGTTCGAGGGCCGAAGGAAGACAAGGTGAGCCGTAGATTGGAGACCCTTGGCCTCGAGGATAGAAGGTTAAGGGTGGGGACTATGATCTAGGAGGAGGATTTCAATGACATTTCACATTTTCGTTGCAAACTACATTTGAACCCATAAGCAAATTCAGACGTCCTTGCAACCTACATTTGAACCCATAAGCAAATTCAGACATGGTTATGAGTGATCTGGCTTTTCTTGACAGATTATTCATAAACATGTTCAAACCCACCCATAAGCTGAAATATATGTAGGCTACAGGGAAAAAATGACATGTTATAGAAATCCTCCCTTTAGTAATAACTCTAGAACAAATGGATAGGAATTAAAAGGATGAACTTGAATACATAAAGCCTCATTTCATTAATGTCTTAATGTTATATAGTTTGAATACACAAATGGATAGGAATTAAAAGGATGCAGATTTGTTGTGGACATTTGGAGAAGCTTCTGAACAGCATGATAGTGCAACAAAGTGCATAAAGAGATGGTGGCTTCTCTTCCTATATAGACCCTTGAAGTGGAGCCTAGAGAAGTGTCTGTCATGGATCCTGTAGTTGGAAGATTTTTGCCACAAGCTGAGATTTGACCTGTTTATTTATTTGACTGTTATGCCTCCCATCTGTCTTCAAGGCCACTCTGGGTGGTTTACAATATAATAAAACAATAGAACAGTAACACCAACATTAGACTAAGTTCCAGGGTTCTTAACTAGTGGTGCATTTACATGGGTGGGGGACTAGACATGAACATTTCCGAAAATTTCCATTTTTTTCCAGAAAATAAAAATCTGTTTTCCCCCCAGAAAAATTTTTTTTTGTTACATCTCTAGAGAGAACTTAAATACATAAAGCCTCATTTCAGTAATGTCTTAATGTTATATAGTTTGAATACCACGTCATAGACATATTATTTATCATTGTAAAAGAACATTCCACACACCATATTTTTTCAGTTTTTCCAGGAAAAAAAAACAAATTGGGAAAAGTGGGCTGCTTTGTTTCTGTAATAGTGAGATGAAAGTTATTGTGCAGAATGATCAGTTGGATGTAATGTAATGTTGGGCTAGAAGGTTTGTGGCCTTAATCTGGAAATAAAGGCAGTTCATTGGGTTTAGAACAGTAACACCAACATTAGACTAAGTTCCAGGGTTCTTAACTAGTGGTGCATTTACATGGGTGGGGGACTAGACATGAACATTTCCGAAAATTTCCATTTTTTTCCAGAAAATAAAAATCTGTTTTCCCCCCAGAAAAAATTTTTTTTGGAAATGTTACATCTCTAGAGAGAACTTAAATACATAAAGCCTCATTTCAGTAATGTCTTAATGTTATATAGTTTGAATACCACGTCATAGACATATTATTTATCATTGTAAAAGAACATTCCACACACCATATTTTTTCAGTTTTTCCAGGAAAAAAAAACAAATTGGGAAAAGTGGGCTGCTTTGTTTCTGTAATAGTGAGATGAAAGTTATTTTGCAGAATGATCAGTTGGATATAATGTAATGTTGGGCTAGAAGGTTTGTAGCCTTAATCTGGAAATAAAGGCAGTCCATTGGGTTTAGTTGGGCAGGGGTACTAACTGCAGGACTCCCTAATGTATCCTAAATCCTTTTTTGCATTTCAGCTCTACAGGTTTCTTGCTCGGCGGACCAATGCAAAATTCAATAAGGTGATTCTCAAACGGCTGTTTATGAGTCGTACCAACCGGCCTCCGCTGTCACTATCCCGCATGGTAAGTTCCTGATTCTCCTCAGAATCCCTTCCCTAGTGTCACAGGTGCCTGCTCCTATCAGATCTCAAAGTCTTTGAATTTCAGGTATCAAGAGTAGAATTGGGGTATTCGTAGACAAATACAAATATCCCCCCGCAGGTGGAAATAACGAGGGTCCAGCCCCATGGGGCCGGACAGTCCACTCACAGTTTGCTTGCTGCTGCTCCTATTGCACTGTGCTCTGCAATGGATTGGCCACTCCTGCCTGGAAGGGGGAAGACAAGCCTCTCTGCAAGGTCGCAGAGTGGCCAATCCATTGCAGAGCATAGCCTGATAGGAAAACACTGCTGCTTGTTATTTCCACCTTCCGGGGGGGCGGATTTTATCCCCATCTCTAATGAAGAGTTCTCATGCTCAGTCATCACACCTCTCCAGCTTTACATAAGGCAACAAGCAGGGCTACTTCTGATGTGGCTTTGCCAGTAGAGATCAGATAGCAGATGAAGGTAGGGCATAGAGAAAAGAGCAAGACTGTAGCCTATAAAAGAAGAGAAAGAACAGCAGTTACATATGCCTCTGTCCATAGCAGTTAGTTGTGGTGGCAGTGATAGTAGGGAGATGTACAGCTCTTCATGAGAAAGAGAAGGAACAGCAGTTTACATAACATATGCTTCTGCCCAGAGCAGTTAGTTGTGGTGGTGGTGATAGTAGGGAGATGTACAGCTCTTCATGTTGTGTATCTTGTGGAAGGACATGGAGACAAGAGGACAAAATTACATGGCTGTTGTCCTACTTAAGGTCACATACACACAACCCAGGTTATGAATGTACACATTTGCTTGCAAAAAAGGTGAGTTTTAGAAAGTAAACTGTTCCTTGCTGATTAGTACAAGCGTTCTTTCTCCACAGATCCGTAAGATGAAGCTACCAGGCCGGGATAACAAAACAGCTGTCGTAGTGGGCACAGTGACGGATGATGTTCGAATCCAGGAAATCCCCAAACTGAAGGTAGTCTGGCCAGTCATGGGAGAGCTGCTCAGATGGGAAAGGGGGTGAAGGCAAGGGATTTTAAATGGAAGGATGTCTTGGCAGTTTGGCATTGGGTAAATGGTGCATGTGGAGACCCTTGTGTTGCAACCCATTTTGTTTTTGGGCAAGGGATTTTAAATGGAAGGATGTCTGCATGTGGGGACCCTTGTGTTGCAACCCATTTTGTTTTTTCTCCAAGGTCTGTGCACTCAGAGTGACCAAAGGTGCCCGCACACGCATCTTGAAAGCTGGTGGCCAGATCATGACTTTTGATCAGTTAGCCATGGCTGCCCCCAAAGGACAGGGAACTGTATTGCTTTCAGGTAAGTCAAGAAGTATTATGAAACTTTCATGCATCTTAAAGGTAAAGGTTCCCCTTGACATTTAGTCAGTCGTGTCTGACTCTAGGGGGCGATGCTCATCCCCGTTTCCAAGCCATAGAGCCAGCGTTTGTCCGAAGACAGTTTCCGTTGTCACATGGCCAGCGCGGCTATACACGAAACACTGTTTACCTTCCCACCGAGGTGGTCCCTATTTATCTACTCGCATTTGCATGCTTTCGAACTGCTAGGTTGGCGAGGAGCTGGGACAAAGCGACGGGAGCTCACTCCATTGCGTGGATTCGATCTTACGACTGCTGGTCTTCTGACCCTGCAGCACACAAAGGCTTCTGCGGTTTAACCTGCAGCACCACCACGTCCCATTTCATGCATCTTAGTCTGATCCTAATACCTCAGTGCAACTAAAACATCTCTTTTGGCTTCCTCCCTACAGGACCCAGGAAGGCCCGTGAAGTTTATCGACATTTTGGCAAGGCCCCGGGCACCCCACACAGCCATACTAAGTAAGTATCCCTGGTTACCTATTTGTTTCCTCTTTTATGCATTTTATGTCCAGAGCAGGTGAGCACCTGCATTCCTTCTCACTACTGATGATGATAGTTACAGCAGATTGGAGTTCTAAGCAAAAAATCTTTGGAGTCCATAGTTTTGGCTCTGGTCTAAAGCCATGCAATACAGGTACTCCAGAACTGTGGCAACTTTTAAAACATGGCTTGTTTTGAACCATATTTGCACAATCACAAAACTGACCCTTTGCCCATTTGTAGTTTTATCTTCTTTGTTTCCCCTTAAACTTCAACAAAAACAGCATTCTGCTCTTTATGTTATCAGAATACTTTGCTAGAGGAAAATTGTTCAAGTGATATAAAATGAATTACAATGGTACCTCGACTTACAAACTTAATCCGTATTGGAACGGCATTTGTACGTCGAAAAGTTCATAAGTGAGGCAAACTTTTCCATAGGAATGCAATGAAAATCATTTAATCTGTTCCTCCTGTTTTTCGTTCGTATGTCAAGGCGCTGTTTGTAGGTAGGGGGATTAGTTCCCATAGGAACTAATGCAATTTTCGTTTTTCATATTTGAAGGACTGGGGGGAGATTTTTTCTTCTTCTTTTGACACTTAGGTTAAAAAAAAGGGCAGGAAAGTTACACTGGGGGGAGATTTTTTGTTCTTTTTTGACACTTAGGTTAAAAAAAGGGCAGGAAAGTTTTTTCGTTTTTTTGTTGTTCGTAAGTCGATGCTCTGTTCGCAAGTTGAAACAACTTTTTGCGAACCAAGCCGTTTTAACTCAAATTGTTTGCAAGTGGAGACGTTAGCATGTTGAGGTACCACTGTACAGTACATCCATGCACATCTGCATCTGTCTTTCAAGACTGAGTTGGGGTAATGCCGCAACTTCTAGATAGTGTTTACAGTCAGGGGTGATCTGTGGAATATGGAAATAGGAAAGAAATAACTCTTGTTGAGCACTTATTCCATGGGCTGGAGCAGTAGAAATTTTAAAATATTAGAGGGTTGGTGGCAAGAAACTTGGTACCTTGGTGTTTGTGCATGTGTGAAGAAATCCTGTTTGATAGACTCTGGTAGCTAAGGCATCTCCAGATACTGCAGCTCCTCCATGTGTGTATCTTCTTTAATAAAATATTCCTGTTTGCACTAGTAACTCTTCCATTTTTCCCTTTCCAGGCCATATGTCAGATCCAAGGGCCGAAAGTTTGAGCGGGCTCGAGGCCGCCGTGCCAGCCGAGGGTACAAAAACTAGATTGATTCTTAAAAATATTTGAAGGCCAAGATGTATGGGATTAAACATTGTCATACTCAATATAAATCAAGGTCCTGATGCAGTATTATTTGGTGAAGAGGTAGGAAGCTGTACAGTTGCCTGTTGTGTGCCCGATACAAGCTCCTCACTTTCAGAAATACCCCTGCCCCTTAACTTAGGAAGACAGGAACATCTTTCTAAAGACAAGCAATTGTATGGGCACAAGGAAATGTCTGGTTAATAGAATTTGGAGCTAAATATCAATGGGTGGTGTTGAACAAAAAGAAGGGGCTAAGAATCATAAAGCTGGCAAATTAAGACACTTACTCGAGAGGTGGATGATGAGCATAATCTGGAACCAATAATATATCAGACATGAGCATAGGCAGTCAGAAACTGTATATACTGTACATAAACGCATGGGAGTTCCATGCAGAGTCAGCAAGCAGGTTGGTGCCCAACTCAGATACCAGCAGACTGCTAGGAGAGAAGCCCCTCTGACCTACACAGTTCCAAGGTAGGCATCCCAGCCTACCAAATAGGTCCAGGTGGGAAATTGCACTGGAGTAACACTTGATAAAAATACTTATAAAGCTTAAAGAAAACCAGAGAGCATGGAGACCTGGCCCTAGGCCAGCCCCATGGGCTCATGCAGTAGGCAAGCCAGGTAGCAAGAAATGACCCATGCCGTGCTCACTTGGCTTTCCATGTTCTGGGGGTGGACAACACGCAAGAAGCGGAAGCTGAACGCCTTGTCTCTCAGGCTGCGTAAACTCAGCACCTGCCTCTTGGCTGCCTCCTGCTGGGCTGTCAGGTCCACTGGTCCTTCTTGGAGGAAGGGAGGCAGTGTAGGCAGCTCCTCCCCCCCAGTTCCTGCACCAAAGGTGAGAAAGCCACTGGGGGCAGCCAGAGCATAGGCGTGAACTGAGTAGTGGGAGCGGGGACCCCACTGGGCATCTCTTTTGCCTCGTGTCCGTCTCTGGGCTTCAAAAAAAAGCTCTGCACAATCCAGAGCAACCAGTGACACGTTGTGAAGTCTGAGTAGCCGTTGTGGCTTGAAGGCATCTATGTAGCGCCGACTGCAGGTGACTGGAATCTGCAGATGGAGGAAAAGCATAATTTGACTTAGGATACTGTCAGTAAACAGCAAATAAAGAGTCATACAGTAGGAATGAGCCAACTGTGGAGGATTGGGGGCCACAACTGCCCCAGTGTCTGAAACACCCCCCCCATCTCCTTTTCCTGCCAAATACATGAAATGCTACTCTGAGCTGAAAAGGGTGCAGAGGCTTCTGGAAATTGCTTTAAAGTGGAGAATGGCACCGCCTGGTGGCTTTGGGGAATGCAGTTATCCACTTGGGACAATTTTAGGGGCAGGAGAATCCCACAGGTTACCCAGTTCCAATGCTTCACATACTGTCTTTTAGGATAGGTAGATACTGGCTCTTGTCGGTAGCCTGGTGATCAGTAGAATGCTAGTTTACTAATAAATGCAAGGAAGCAGCTAAGTTGAAAATTCAGCCTGGCAAAATGAACAAGAGATTGCATGTATTTCCCCCAGGAATCCCACAATAACAAAGCCTTTCTTGCTCAGGAAACTGGCCAGTGTGATTCCAGATCTAATCCACCAGATGTCAGCACAGACCTCTAGCAGAAGATAGTTCCAAATGGCTCCTCAACCAGCAGATTAGTGAACCAGAAGATGGGTCAAGTGCCCAGGAAAGCTGGTGTGTAATTGAAAGACTGACAGACTAGGATTCAAGAAACCTTGGTTCAAGTCCCTACTTGGCCCTGGAAACTCAGTGGGGGAGGGGTGATGCTGGCAAAACTGCTCTTTGAATATCTCACATACATTGAAAACCCTACTAAGACCCTACATAATACAGTGGTACCCCGCACAGCGAGGTTAATCCGAGGGGTGATGCTGGCAAAACTGCTCTTTGAATATCTCACATACTTTGAAAACCATACTAAGACCCTACATAACATAATATAGAGAGTCTGCATATCCTTGTCTCATTCTCTATAGAACCCTGGTCTCATTGCTCATTTCCCGGCCAAGTTATCTTGGAATAGGAAAACCTACAGTTGCACCAATAACAGAGAAGAAAAGTGCACAGGAAACAATTGCCTGGCCCATGTTTCCATTCTGATGGTGGATGGAGAATATACAGTGGTGCCTCACAAGACGAGTGCTCCGTTTTACGACGAAATCGCATAACAACAAAGTTTTTGTGATCACAAAAGCGAATGCAAAACGATGTTTCCTATGGGGGAATTTCGCTTTGTGATGATCGGTTCCCTGCTTCGGGAACTGATTCTCGCAAAAAGACGATTTTCCTACAGCTGATCGACGGTTTCAAAATGGCCGCCGGGTTAAAAAAAATGGCCGCCCAATGTTTTCTGGGATGGATTCCTCGCTGCACAGGCAGTGAAAATGGCCGCGCTATGGAGGATCTTCGCTGGACGGTGAGTTTCAAGCCCATAGGAACACATTAATCAGGTTTTAATGCGTTTCTATGGGCTTTTTAATTTCACTTTACGATGTTTTCGTTCTACAGCGATTTCGCTGGAACGAATTAACATAATGCGAGGCACCACTGTATGGTCTTTGAGATACTAGACTATAACTACTACTATCCCTCATTAGCTACGCTTACTAAGGCGGATGGAAGTGGCAGTCCAGGAACATCTGTGGGGCCATATGTTCCCCACTCATTTCTTAAGGCACTTCACAAAAGATGATTTCTTTCTTAAAACATAACCAAAGCATCTTCCACATGCTCAACTTTCCCTCCCAAGGCCTAAGGGAACTTGATTCGGGGAACAAGAGGTGATCAGATGTTTGGGGAGTGTTTACGGACCCCATACTTCTGGAAATTGCCTACTGCTGCTATGGAAAGTCATAACTATGTTGTGCAAGGAAGATTATTTGTTGCTTCTGCGTTCAAAAGCCTCTGAACAAATCAAACCTCTTTTGTGAGTCTCCCCCTTCATGCCCAGTAAGTTACAAACTCTGTTCTTGTCCACCTCACAAATTCACCACAACACAAGACTTAATAGGTTATGGCATTATTGGCAGGGTGTGTAGAAAACCAAAATAATCTCTCCACCCTGATTACCCACCTGTCTCAAGCGCTGCTCCATGATCTCAGTCCAGCTAAGCCAGTAGCGGGAGGCTGTCGATTCAGAAATGTGAAAGCGGAAGGCCAGGTCTTGAAGAAGTAACCCAAGGCGCAACCGGACAAGGACCAAGAAAAGCTGGTTCTCAAGGCTTAGGGCACTGTGGAGGCCACTGTCTAGGCTCCCCTCTTCCCCGCCTTTGCCATCGAGGAGGAAGTCCAGAAAGGCCATGAGCCGGGGGTACCCATCAAAGCCTGTGTAGAACCTCAACCACTTGGGGTTATTTTTGATGGTCTCAAGGGAAAAAGCCCCATGATGCGCTAAAGCTTTGTGCTGCCCTCTCAGCTGCCTGCTCATTGAAAGGACGGTGGCGCCACTGGCATCCAGCTCTTGCCGTAAACGCTGTCTTGTGGACTCCAGCTGGTTCCGCTCGCAACGCAAGTCGTGGTTCTCTGCCTCAAGCTGTGAGATGCGCTGGCCGAGATCTGAGAAGAGAGTACCATTCCCATCATCTGCTTTTTCCTGTGTGATAAGAGAGAAAGACAGTGTTGTGTGGGTCATCCACCCAACTCTGCTCCTTGCATCATAAGACACTCCCAAGCATGTACATCCCTCACCTGTCGTTCCTGATGGTCTTTCTGGCTGGTTTCTCGGAGGCTAAGGAGCAGCTCGGTCTGGTGGTGCACCATGTCCTTGAGGTCTGTTACAAGGTTCTTCAATGCTCCTGGTTCCTCAGGTAGACAGTATGTATCGTGGTCATGCAACAGGGCTGTTTTCGAACTGCCCTGGCAATAGTGTGGCTTGCTGGTATTTTTCATCCACTCACTTGCAAAGACCGGGTCACTGAGAGCAGAGGAACGTTCCACTGTGGAGAGAGGAGTTATGGGGCATCCCTTATAAACAGTCATTTGTGGACCTCAGTGCCACCTACCCCTGAAAAATGTTACAATGCTCTGTTGGCTTAAAGAAAATGTCAGAAGAACACTGAAAAATCCAGGGTATTGTAGCAATTTTCAGCACAATGGAAACGACAGTACCTTGATTCCCTCGTGAAAAGGAACAATAAACTTGAAACCTATTTGGGATCTTTGCTTTCATTTTATATGACCTGTTGTTCCACTCTGTGGTTGTAGCACTTGTATCTTATTGATGGCTTTCCTGTATGGGGGAGAGGTTGCTTTTTATATTAACCCTATAGAAGTTGCTGTAGGAAGCTGTCCACTAGAAAGTGAAGTTGTAAGTTTAAACTGGTTGAGTAATCTCTTCTGCAGATGATGCTTGTGTCCCAGCATGAAGAGACACTTATTAAAATTGTATATTATAATGCATGCCTATTTTCAGCACAAAGATACCTATATTTCCCTACTTACGCCACTGGTACACATTGATCAAAATCTAGCAAGAGGCTAACAGCAGATGTTGTTAGGCTTTCAAGTTGATTCCAAAATTACAGTGACCCTAATAAAGTCTTTGTATACCCAGTGTGGATTGATGGATAGAGTGACAAAGACTCAGGAGGGCTGGATTTGAATCCCTACTTAGCCATGGAAACTCACTGGGAGGTGTGAGTAAACTGGTAAAGCCGCTCCTTAGATATCTCACTTACCTTGAAAGCCCTGGTAGAATTGCTGTAAGCAGGCTTCCAGCTTAAAAGCACATAACAAGAATAGGGTTTTCAAGCTACATGAGATGTTTAAAGAGCGATTACCCACTGCCAGCCCTCACCCCACCCCCCCTTGAGTTTCCATAGCCAAGCAAGGACGAACCCACATCTCTTGAATCCTGATCAGATGCTCTACCCTCACACCACACGGGCCCTGAAGGGCAAGTAATGAGCACAAATTGAATTTGGAAGGAAATACTGCACTGCCCATGGGTTTTCTGTCCTTATAAACAAACAAAAAAGAATTAAAAATATAGTTGTGCTGGTCCATGAAGGGGGAAGAAATTCAAATCTTCAGATGGACAATCTGAGAAGACCAACCACAATGCCACAAAAGCGCCTTTTCTGTTTTTGTTTGGGGGATCCCAATTGTTACTGCTTAGCAAGGATGTCAGAAGAAAGCATGAAGAAGAAAAAGTGAACAAGGTGGGGGAATAACTGGTGCTTCAAATACTGTTAGGATTGTTGTTGTGGGTTTTTCGGGCTCTTTGGCCATGTTCTGAAGGTTGTTCTTCCTGTTGTTTCGCCAGTCTCTGTGGCCAGCATTGTGAGAGGACTGGAGTAGGAACTCTGTCTGTGCTCTGTTCCGACTCCTGTTCCTCTGAAGATGCCGGCCACAGAGACTGGCGAAACGTAGGGAAAAACAACAGCCAAAGAGCCCGAAAAACCCACAACAACCATCAGATCCCGGCGGTGAAAGCCTTCGAGAATACACTGTTAGGATTGCAACTTCAATCAGCCCCCCCCCAGCCAGCACAGCCAATATTGAGGGCACATGGGGGCCTTTACCATGCTTACCATCTCTGAAACAGAAGGTGAGGGAGACCAGTTCGACTTTGCTAGAATTGGTGCAAGAAGCATTTCTTCGCAAGTAGCTCTAGGAAAATTCCCGCTCAAGTGTCCCTGTTAGAAGTGGAAGTCCTCATCCTTTCCCCTCCCTCGTGATGCTCGATCCGAACTGCACTCCGGCCAAGATCACAACACTGTTACTCCCCACATCCCCAGCAGTCAGGAGGACCCATGACACCATGGAAGGATACCGGACCCAGATCCCATGTCTCCCAGAACCTCCCTTATTGTAAGTTCACTGCTAGCCGCACTTGCTCAAGCATCCTTTCCCCGCGTCATCACGGATGTGTCAAAGCAGCAAATAACTAGCCTTGTGGCTTGGGATGGCCCAGTTTTGGTATGCTCTCTCATCTGAGGCCCAAGAGTGGCCCCCTTTTTTATGCCAGCTTAAAAGCACCCAGCTACCGCAATTACAGGTTGGTCAGGTTGGAGATTAGATCGTACACCAATTCAAAACGCCTTAAATAATTGTCTTTACATTGCCTAACAGTGTTTTCTTGTTTGAATTCCCTACTACGATCTCTGTGTACAGATTAGGAAATAAATAGTTTAGTAATAGTACTGATAGTACTGATAGTACTGATAGCACTGATGGTAGTAGTAGTAGTAGTAGTAATAGTAGTAGTAATAGTAGTAGTAGTAGTAGTAGTAGTAGTAGTAGTAGTAGTAGTAGTAGTAGTAGTAGTAATAATAATATAATAATAATAATAATATAAATAAAAAGGAATACCAGTGGGCGATTCCTTGCTCAGTGGCAAGCAGGACTTTTTTTCCATGGGACCGCGGGGCTGAGCTGATCTTGCAGGCACCTCCATCTCTGGCCCACAGGGGGCAGCAAAGACACATGCTGTTACCTGTGGGATTCCGATACGAGCCGAGAGTTAGTGGCACCTTTTTATCAGGCAAAAACATTACGGTAAAATGGAATACCAGTGGGCGATTCCTTGCTCAGTGGCAAGCAGGACTTTTTTTCCATGGGACCGCGGGGCTGAGCTGATCTTGCAGGCACCTCCATCTCTGGCCCACAGGGGGCAGCAAAGACACATGCTGTTACCTGTGGGATTCCGATACGAGCCGAGAGTTAGTGGCACCTTTTTATCAGGCAAAAACATTACGGTAAAATCGTGATGTAGGTTATAGATTAATTAACATGGAGATGTCTTCCACCCCTTTCCCCCCCTCCCCCAATTAAAAACTTTTTAAAATGGGGGAAAATGCTGTGATCCAAGACCAATAAAAGGGCCAGTAGAAATTGGAAACGTTTTGAATGAGATAAAAATGCCATCCGGATTTTGGAGGTATCGACACTGATGCCAAGGCGAGTTCATAAGAGGCATCGACAGATTAGTGCACGGCGCTGCACCCCCAGTTGCTCAATACCTGGGAGGAAGGGCTGCGGCTCTCCATCTTCCTGCAGCCTTGTTTCCGATCCAAAATGGCGGCCGCCGTGAATCTGCTCTATCTGTCCTTACAGCACGGCCGAGGGAGAGGGAACGGGAGTCCGGCGTTCCCTCAGTCAAGATGGCAGCCGTCGGCTTCAGAGCAGCCAGTCAAGGGGCAAAGTGGCGGAAGTTCCGCCAGGAGTTGGGTCCTGGCTGCTGAGACGACAGTCGCCTTGACTCAGTGATGTTTACTGTAGGTGGAAACATTTCACTGTGAACTTGTGGATCAGAATTCAGTTCCTTAGGCACAAGGGATATTTTCAAGGGAAAAATTGGTGAAGGAGAAAAAAAAGCAAGAGTATAATCACTGGGCTAGGTAAACTAGGGCAACTCTAAAGAGTCAGGTTAGTGCAATGGTGAGACAAGGACCCACTCAGAGATCATTCCTGGAGGGCAATGAAATGGTAGAAATACAGCCAGAGACATTTCTACACAAGGCTTGGCTCTGTACAAGATAAACGATGGTTTTTCAGAACAGTTTAGCAGCACTGAAGACAACATACTTGGTGTAGAAGTGAAAGAAAACCTTGGTCTCCATTGAGCCCTGAGTGAACAGAATCAAACTACTGTATTCTGTTAACCCATGTTTAGCAATTTCCCCTTCAAACATTCTTGTTGAAGAATGGCAACTTTTAGCTCCATCAAGAGAATGTCCTTGGAGAATAAATGTTCTCCCACAAGTTTCTGAAATGTTACCATTTTCGATCCTGGATTTGTGTCCTTTTATATATTTTTTCATTTTGAGACTGATTTGTGTTTATTTTATGGAGAGTGTGAAAGCTGAGAATTGTCCCCCCCCCCCGTTTTCCTTTGAAGCTATCAGGAATTTAGGGATTCCTTTCATCACTGGCTTTCTTTGTCTTCTGGCATTCTTTCAGAGTGCAGGATAGCTCAGTGGTTTAAGCATCTGGCTGGGGAGCCAGAAGTTGGGCATTTGATTCCCCACAGAATATATATATAATCAATCTGGATTATATATGGGGGTGAGGGAAGATTTTTTTTTTTAATAGAGAACAGATATTACATAGAAGTGGGAGGTCAGGGTGAATGCCACTGGAGTTTGTCTTCCATCCCTCACCCCCATATATAATCCAGATTGACCAAGGCAAGACGGGACAAAAAGTGGGGCTTTGGAAAACGTACCAGTCAAAAGTGACTAACTACAGATTTGAGATCAGAACCTGAAATTGAGTCTTCAAAAAATAGAACTTGGGAAGTTACTTTTAAAGACTACAGTTCTAAGATTTAGTTTTATTTTTTCCCCAAACTCAGTAAAAAAAAAAATCTTTTAATTATTAGTTTTTCAGCAAGTCTCCTTGTATCCCCATCCCAACCCTCCTCCAGGTCACCTTACCTTGAGCTGAAGCACTGGTCTATCTAGCCTCATATTGTCAGCACTGGCTGGCAGAAGTTCTCTGGCATTTTAAATACTGTAGGATGTTTTTTTCCTAGCTCTACATGGAAATGTTAGGGATTGAACCTACCATCTTCAACATGCAAAGTGTGCCCTCTGCAGCTGAGTTACTAACCCTCCTGGGATCCTTCTACTTCTTTCCCATTTACCTGCCTTTGCCTAAAGCCATTAAGCACTTCAAACAGGCAACAGCTTTTTGAAACAATGTGACTTCTTAGAGAGGTGCATTCACTCTTTGCTTCTCGTTCTTCCACTACTCCTTCAGCATTGCAGCATTTTATTTCTACGGAAATGACTTTCTCAGCCTCTTCTTAACTTCATTGCTGGTGCTGCTGTTTGTAATGAGAAGCATTTCCTACAAGTAGCTGACTTTCACATTCATGATAGGATCAAACTGCACACTATGCTAAATGCATCACTTGCTGTTCTTATTATATGCATGATTTTAAGACTGTACACACACAGACACACTCACTCACTTAATGACTGCAGTGGCAGTCTTATTTTCAATCGGACTGCAGCATAGCAGGAAGAAATTTTTTAAAGCCCACCCCCTATACAGCATAGGTCCAAATGGAAACGGTTCACTGCCATATTGCTGTTGTCAGTAATAAAAAGATGTGACTGCAAATGTTATGCTTAGCATCACATCCATTTCGGCTGCAAGAATACAATCCTGAGCATACATAATATGGAAAAAGCCCTGCCGAACACCAATGGACTTTATTTTGTCTGAGTGTAGATGGGGAGTACTGATGAGCAACTTGTGTTCCTCCAGATGTTGTGACTCTCATCAGTCCCAACCACTATAATCAGTTGTGGGTGATTCTGGGAGTTGTAGTCATATAGAAAGCCACAAATTGACATCCTCATGTCTTAGGAGTCCTCATAAGATGTCTGCATTGTCATTCTGGGTTCAGCCTTAACACACATTGATGGGGTCCAGCTCTTCCTTTTGCACAAATCTTGGAATCTATATTTACTATTACTTTTTCAGTGGTTACAACTGGAAGATGTGATTACTGGTTCTAAATTGTAACACAGGATAAACTACAGGTGTGTGTACAAAGCTGCTAGTGTGAGAAGGAATTTTTTAAAAAAAATATTTTGCATCCTCTTCTCTCTTTACATCCATATGGGAGCAAGAAGGAGCTTTCAGTTTCTTAATAACTGCTTTGACCCTGCAGTTTCTAAGCTGAAAGTGATAGCTAACCATCTGTTTTGGGTCGATCCTTACAATCATGCAAGCTAATACCAAAACACAATGCAGCAATCCTACCTGCACAAAAAACAACAACAACAACAACAAACCACTCAGTAATCTCCGACAGGGATGTAAAAGCTGTGGATAGGTAAATGTTGGTTGGATAATGTTTGGAGTCAGTAGTTTAAAAAAATCCAAAGATGTATGTGTTATATGTGATGTGAAATAAAGCTGAGAGTTTTCAATTAAGACACTTAATTTAAAAATGTTCACACTAACTTTATGACTATTCCAGTTTAAAAAACCTATATTTAACTTGGTTAGTAGAATGAATATTATGGGATAAAACGATGGAGCAAAGGTGGCACCAGAACCAGAATGGCACTTATCTTTCTGTGGGTGGAATCCAAAGCGACTCTGGATTTACTTTGTGATCTAACATCAGCATTTGATTCGTTCAGCTTCAAAAATGAATTTGAAACTAGAGTGTAAAATTAGTCAATCAGGAGCAACTCTGAATTTCCCAACAGAAAGAACTGGGGACCCAGGTTTACCCTAGTTTCATTTGAAATACAGTTTTCCCAAGATAGGATGAATATCTAGCTCAAGTTGAAACTCACAATGGGATTAGTCATTGTAGAGAATTGGTCCCAGAGAAAGAGACAGCTCCTCTTCATTTCACAAACAATGAAAGGTTCGTTTCATTGAGCTGAAAAATAGTAATTACTCCTGTCCGCTCCAGTTTCCCCATGGCTGCATTCTTGTACGCTTTCCCTGCCGGTCCATCTGACTGGCGTGGGAAGCTTTCTGTTCTCTAGCCAAGATGCCCTACCCAGCATCAGCCTTGAAGCGCAACACCCTTTGAGTGTGAGTCAAGCAACCGGGTAGCCTTAGGGACAATCCCTGAACTGTGGCATCTCTGGGGATCAGCTAGGAGGAACAATCCAGGTAAGCAGAGAAGACTGTGGTTTGTGTGTGTGTGTGTGTGTGTGTATGTATGTGTGTGGTGGGCAAGGGCAACCTTGCCAGCCTTCAGATCAGAAACACAGAGACGAGAAAACACGCGGCTTATCCCTGTGGCTCTAGGAAGAGGCACTGGAACCCAAGATAAGACAGGTACATACCTGTAGCAAATGGGAGGAGGTGGGATTGTGAAAAGGTGTGATTTAAGGAAGTGGTGGGTTGAACAGGTATGGATGTGCAGCATCTCTAGACCCTATTGTAATAATCAGAAGACTGTATACAAACTGGAAGAGGGGGACTGTGACATCTTGGCAGTTATGGTGTTGTCTCCTAATTTCTTCTCCAACCCATTTGTACAGAAAGAGTTACAAAGAAGTCTTTAAGGTTGCACGGCTGCTTGAGAAACAAAGGAGCCATGAGCAGAAGATATCAGGAGAAGAGGAGAGAAAGAGAAATAAAATCAAGAAAATAGATGAGAGTGGAGGGGGGAAAAATAAAAGGCAAAACTAAATTAAGAAGAGGAGGAAGGGAGGGAGGGAGCTAGGAAAATGAGGAAAATATATATAAAAGAAATCAGAGAAAGAAGGAGGGAAAAAGAAAAAAACGGGGGAAGGGGGAAAATATAACTAGAGAAAATAGTTTAAAAAAAAAGAGAAAGGCAGGCAGGCAAAATTAGGTGTGAGTAGAGCAATCCAAAGGGAAGTTATTATATAGCCCCTACTTAGATGGATGGAGAAAGGTTGTATGTGAGAAAGGTTGTATATTTGAAAGATATTTGGAAGGTCACTTCAAGAAATTAATGCAATGTCACCAAAACTCTGGAACCGCATTTATATCCCGTAACCCATCTTAGACTGTCTCTGATCCCTGAGGAATGGTGGGTGATTGGTGGAGCTTCAGTTTGACATCAGGTGGACTTTGAAGGTGCCCTCTTTCCGGAACACCCGTTGTGCAGCCTGTTTGGTACGCTGTTTGGGAGGCCTCAGCTCTCCTCATCTCGGCCACTTAGAGAAGGGGCTATGTTGACACGGACACTGAAGGAGACTTGAGTTTGTTCTAATGGTCTCAGGACGAAGTTCTGAGACGCCAACAAGTAACCCGGTTGGTTGCCTCCCCAGAGTCGTTTATAATTTTCCTCAAGCAAGCAAGTTTGGGAAATGTTAGCAAACATTCTGCTCTGGACTGGTAAAGATAAAAATAGAGCCCGTGTATGGAGTGTTTATTTTGACTACTGTAGGCTAACTCCTAATTTCTCCAGGGAGCAGCAACATGCAGGAGGCCAAGTTGCCGGGTTGCTTTAGATGTGCAGCAGTTTATAATTGGCAAAATCAATGGTAGTGTGTTAAGAAACCTTCCTTCTTCCCTAAGAGGAGTCCTTTGCAAAGCTCCACGTCCACAGTGAAAGAAAGCTGACCTTCACTCAGAGAAGCACATGTGCATCAGAAATAACAATTTATTATTATTCACACAGAAACACTGATTATGATTTATCTACACAAATGTTTATTAATAATAGATAATGAGTTGGGTCTGGACATAAACATAATTAGGCTCACCGAAATAGATGCTTCTGCTTTTCATTGGATATATTCTATGTGTTATTATTAACTGTACATCCAATTCATTTTGTCTGAATGTGTTTGAATGTATACTCAAAGATCTGGAGGTTCCCAATTCTAGGCCGAATACTCCCTTGGCTTCAACACACGCAGGTCCTTTCCTTGTAAAATCCTCTCTCTGCCTCCAAAATTGATCTTTTCCTATTGAATGTTTGTGAACATTCTGTAACAGGACAGTTGTCACTTTGTTCCTCTTTATCTACCAGCGTCTGCATTGATATTTGGTATTTTTTCCTGCCATCTATACAATGTTCTTTTGTCTTACTTAGTACAGTGACTTTTTTGGTAACTTTTTTTCTCCCTCCTGAAAGCATATATAATTTTTTTAGTGTGGCTTTGTTCTGTGGGATTGGGGTGAGAGTTTAGCACTAAGATACTTCCCATTTGAAGCTGATGTCTGCCAAGCAGAAGCTTTCACATACTTTGCAAACAAAGAAACAAACAGTTCAAGAAGAAAAGCTTCAGCAGAGAAATGGATTTCTTAATTTAAAAAAAAAGATTTCTTAGGTCCTATGGGCCCTTTTACTGGGAGAAAGGCAGAGTATAAATAGTATGTAGTAATGAGATCAATTTTCTTAAAGGGAAAGGAAGGAACATTCCAAAAGGGATATTTGGAGACAAATCATGATAAAACTCATGCCCTTTCATGAGCCAAAGCAGGGAGAACCTTTTGTTCTGCCTGGATAGTTGTTACTCAGTGACTGGTAAGCCTTGCAAGTGACAGTATTTTAAACAGATGTAGCTCAGTTTTAATTGTTAAAATAAGAAAAAGGAAAGAAAAAGATTAATAAAATTCTAGTCACTTTCTAAATTAAAATCAGGAGGGATTCACAGGGGCTCTTGACAATGCAATGACAAGCAGGCCTTAATACAGTTTGAAGACTGAGCCAATTTACTGCGGATTATTGCAAACATGAAGTTGCAGCCTGAGATTCATTTATACCTGGAGGGCTGCAGGTTTTTCAGCTTTGAATCTGAATATCAGATTAGGATTAGAGGGGATGCAGATTCAAATTCCTACTCAGCCATGAAGCTCAGTACTGCAACCTTGAAGGGCTATTATGAGGATTAAAAGTCTTATATAGTATACAGGGGGACTGTGTGTGCTTTTCCCCTTTGCTTTTTGGAGAAAATGGAGGAGGACAACACAATAAATATTTATTGTTGATAATTCTCCGAAATGCCCTGGGCCTTTTATTTTCTGAAGCATATTGGAGATGAGAAAGAAAATAAACAGATGTCACTGTAGCTTTGTTTGAAATAATCTAGCTAGGTAACAATCAGTTATTTCAGAGGAATTGTCTGAACAGTGCTTTCAGAATGTCAGCTCCTGGGACTGACCTCACATCTGACGTTCATACAGAACTGACACTCCATGTCATGTCCTTTCTGCCATGCACCCTGTAGTAATATTAGTGTGTATGGGTTCCTACTTTTCTTACAAAATGACCCCCCTGCAGAACCATTTTACTGGTAGAGGGGAGGAATGAAAAAGGGCTGATTAGATTCATGTATCAATCAAAGACTTGACAGCTAGGGAAATTAACTATGGAGTAGGGCAACTCCCCAGGTCACCACAAAGGAGGACATGCGTCACTGCAGAGGAGGACAGCTCTTCAAATGGAGCAACATCCTCCATAAAAAAAGGACATGTGGCTACCATAATAGCTGCTGTTCCTATGGCCAAGGAATGGGGGTGGGATTTTGCCTGGATATTCCCAAGAAGCAGAACTGGCAATTTCCTGCTGATCACCCATTTAACCAATTTGGCAGAAGCTAAAGTGGTTCTCCTCCACGCCTGCTCTCCAAGGCCAGTGGTCAACTGCCAGTACGATGCCACTTACGCAATGGGCAAACAAGAGGAATAAAAGAGAAGACAGATTGGCGTGACATTTGCACATGCTGATTTATACAGAGAGAAATGCAAACAGAGGCCAGCCGCGGACTCTGTGCTACGAGAGACAGAGAACACGTTGCTGTCCTCCCACCATTTTCACAAGGCGACTGGCAACTGAATCTTACCGTAAGGCTGAGGATGGTATCCTGAAGGGAAGAAGTTGGCTAGAGGGCACAAAGAACATGGTGCCCGAACAGAAGCCTCTCTGCTTTTTTGCACAGGGAAAAAGTACCTCCCAGCCTGGTCCAGTGTGGATCACATCAAGAGAGGCCAGTTTACTGGGATTTGTATCCTGCCTATATTCATTCCACTCCCATCTTCAAAAAAATGCTTCTCCTCTGGAAATCCTGGAATGAAATACTTTGCAATCCACTCCCACTCCCTTCACTTCTGGAGCCATTGATTATCTCTTTCTGTTTGTTTAATCTTTGTGAGGTAATTAAAAGCATCTAACTCAGAGCCTGCAGTGTAGAATGAGTACCCAACTGAAATTGTACCCCAGAACAAATCCCCAGTACAAAATAAATCATGCCCTGGACAAGCCATGAAAACTAAACACAAGACAGACCATAATCACCACCACCACCATCAACAACAACAACAGAAAGATAAGGAAAAAGTCACTGAAAGTGACTGGAAGGTGCCAGTTAGGCCTTGTGCTACCTACTCAATAGGAAACATACTAAAAACAGAAGTGCACAACCCAGCACTAGTGCTTCTGACCTGTCTGGATAGCTCAGTATGCAGGGCCAGAGGTTGAGAGTTCAATTCCCTATAGTGCCTCCTATGAAAAGAGACAGCCTGTGCGACCTTGAGCAAGCTACACTGTCCCAGGGCACCCCTGGAAAAATCACTTCTATGTATTCTCTACCTGGAAAACCCTGAAAAGGGTCATCGGAAGTCAGAAATAACCTGACGGCACATTATTATGCCTCGAGACCCCACTGCAGATCTGCCTCCAGTGCCAGCTGCTGCGGATCCTGACCCGCCGCCTGTCGAAGCGCCAGCACCGTGGCAGCAGCCACTACTCCTCTGAGGGGATAAGCAATCCAGCGACTTATGGCTCGTGTGCCCGCAGAAAGGGCTCTGCGTGCCAGCTGTGGCACGTGTGCTATAGGTTTGAACTAAGAGATGTTACCTAATGTTATTGCCTCACTTCACCAGGTACGGCCAACCTTGGATGCAGATCTAGAAAGAGTTGCTACAATTTAAGTGGAAATGTAGTACATCTTCCTGTAGCAGAAAAGGCCAGGTGTGCCTGAGTTGCAGCCAAGATTATTTTTTTTAAAAGGTTTCTGGCAGCAGCTGAGAACAGCACTCCCTGCCACTGCTCCCTTTTTGGCTGACAGAGAAGACAAGTCGGTTTCCCTTGTAGTCGACTGTTATTCCTGCGAGGTGGAAAACCCTTCTTCCCTTCAGCAGCCCAGCCCAAAGCAAGTTCAAATTAGGCTAATGGGTTTTGATTGCACATGTGTACTACTATTTATTTTACTACCATGTTTCCCTGAAAATAAAACAGGGTCTTATATTAATTTTTGATCCAAAAAAATGCAGTAGGGATTATTTTCAGGGGATATGGATTTTTTTTTCATGTGCAACAATCTACATTTATTCAAATAAAGTCATGTCATCTTCTTCTGGTTGCTGCACAAGGGTGGAGGGCGGGGCTTCACTTAACTAGGGCTTATTTTTGCGTTAGGGCTTATATTATGAGCATCCTGAAAAATCAGACTAGGGCTTATTTTCAGGTTAGGTCTTATTTTCAGGGAAACAGGGTAGTATAACATGTGTGAGATATATGCAGATACATAACCTTGTGTGTGTGGGTGCATACACAAAGATACATATATGTATGTAAGCTTTATTAATAAGTTGTGGTATAGTTTAAATAAAATAATTACTTCATTATTTACATAGAAAAAGGTCATCTGAGGAGAACAGACATGCAGTCACGGGCTTCCATCAATTTTAATTGCCATGGAATTGATCATCAGGTTGCCAAACCTTCAGCTGGTCCCTATAAATGTGTCTCTAAAAGCAGCCCAGTGCTGAAGACCTGAGTTGGGAGGTTGAGATCATCTTTTAGTTCTTATAATGAGCTTCAGATGTTGATTTCTCACCTCAGATGACTGTCAGAGTCACAAGAAAAGGCATGGCCATTGTTCTTTGGTTTAGCTGATGACCTCATATGACTGAGCCTCACATTTAGGATGGTGTTCTTTGGAGCAGCAAATCATTTTGCTAAATCTGGAATACTAACCATACACATTTACCTTTGGTGTGACAGAACTCTTTGGAGCAGCAAATTATTTTGCTGCCATACACATTTACCTTTGGTGTGACAGAAAGCCATAAGCATATCTTATAAGAGGAGATTTCCTACATTCACTGAGGGTTAGACTGAATGGGCTTTGAGTGTCCTTTCTGCTGATGGCTGTAGATACAAATATACTAATACGGTCTCTGAGGTGATTCTGAGTATGTACCTCCCTTCGTCAGCTCTAATTTTTTATAGGTACCCTCATTTAGCAAGGCAAAATAACTTGCATTGAATGAGCTGTAGGAGATTTTGTGACCTAATGAGAATTCCTATATATTGAGAATTAGTAACAAGGTGAGGGTAGGATGTAATGAACACTTCTGTACATGTCTCTGATGTACACTTCCAGCGTCGCCTAATTGAGGCCAGGCAACCTGACAACCATGTATTTTCTACTTCTCAGCTGAATGACTCGCAGAAAACCAGTGTGGTGGTTGATTTTTTAAAAAAATCTAATGCATTATATTGACAGGGGGGGTGGCGGGAAGAAAGACAAGGAAGAAGAGAGAAAAAGTCTGATGGCAAAATGTAATCAATTTGTTAGGACAGTTTTGCCCAGCTGTGACTGAAACGCAAGGAGTTTATTTACAGCTCTTGGGATGATATAAGACCTACAGTATAGGTCTAGTTTTGTACACATTCTGCAACAAAACGTGATTGTCTTGATGCACGAGTGTTAAACTGGTTTTGTACCTCTCAGACTAATCTTAACTAATAAAGCTGTAGTGCAGATAAAATGGGGGGCAAGGTGGGGAGTTAACAGTGAAGAGAGCCAGGGCATCACGCAGGAAAAGAAGGATAGAAAAATAGGGGCTGAAATCCTGTTGCCCAGTTACTCAAACAGCATAACGTTTAGATGCAAATTGATGCAATTTAAGAAATCTCCATAGACATTATCTAATGTACGCTAAGCAAGGTCACTCAGTACACAACAGTGTTCAGTCTGTTGATATCCTGAAGTGGCTCGTGTATTAAGCCATTTCAAGATACTGGAAATTCAAACTGGAAGGAGTCTTGGCAGCTTTGACCATTGCAAGATTTGCTTTTAGTCTGTTCCTAGCAATTGCATGCACTGGAAACAGACTAAATTAGAGAGCAGCAACTCCCACCAAAGAAGTAGAAGACTCTGATAGAGGCTCAGAAAAGGTGCAGGTTGGGGTGCTGTCAGAGCAAATGGGTCCAGTCTAGCAATTACGTTGTGTGCTCACGAGAAAAAAAGAGCAGAATAATCTACCCCCACCATACACCATACAGATGGACAAATGGCAGTCTGAACAAGCCCAGAAAAAAAAAGAGCAGAACAATCTACCCCCCACCATACACCATGCAGATGGACAAATGGCAGTCTGAACAAGCCCTGACTTATCCCATGTACTGTACAGATATGGCAGAAATATCAAAAAGAGACATAGGCACACACACAAAGTAGAAGCAAAAGCAGGAGCAGAAGTGGATTGAAAGCCAATTAGGTCAGATCAGTGACTCATACAGTGACACAGTGGGCCACCTCCCTCTGTGGATGGTCTGTTTGGGATTAATGAGTGGGTTAGTTTATCACACTACATGAGCAGCTTTCTCTAGGCATGCTGATTGTGCCTTGACACCCCTTTCTGGGACACACTACAATACAATAAGATGCCACTCATCACACCTAAATGATATTGTTTGTGACAGTGTGTAGGAGTAGGTAGCATCTTGTCAGGTCCAACTTGCATGGCTGGTTTTTCTCTCTGAGCTTTTCAGTATTAACTCCTGGTGTTACCACTATAACATCTGTACAGCTTTCCTGGCTGAGCAAGTTTGGAAGCTTCCCTTGAGGGGATCTTGTTCTGATTGCAAGAATGGGAAAGAGAATGGACTGATGAGGCCATGCACGATTCCTCCAATGCAGGGTTCACCATACCGATTTTCATGAAAGGACGTTTAAACATCTTTCTCGAGACACAATACTGGAAGGCCTAGCTCATTGCTCAGTGAAATTGGTCAGTTCGAGGGCTAGGAACAGCCAAACGTAAGTATTGATTTGCACAAAATATAATAATGGGAGTTCTAAACAGAGGGGGGCAGAAAATAGATGTAAGACACATTTTAGGAGGTTCCATTCTTGTGCCCTTGTTGAATACAAGATCCTTGGTGCAGGGGCAGTAATGCTGTAGAATCATAGGCACTGAGAGTTCATGACCATGAACGGGGGGTGTCCCCCCAAGCTTGGAATACCAGAGGTAGACAATTTCAGGCACTGGGAGTTCATAACCATGAAAGGGGGTGTCCCCCCCCCCAGCTTGGAATACCAGAGGTAGACAATTTCCTTTATGCTTTTGCATGTATGCTTCTCAAAAATGTGAGCCAGAGCAGCACACTAGACTACATAGGATCTGTGTCCGTTTCAGTACGGTTCTTCTGTTATTTATATGTAACTAAGAAATTACCGTATATGCAAAATCTGAGGTTAGAACTACACTGTCTGGAAAAACTGGATCAAATCTGCAGCATCTTCTGGCGTATCACACGACGTCAAGCCCCACTGGGGAACCGGACTCCACAGAAGCAACCTTTCCAAGTGTAGGACTGAGATTTGGAAAGTTCAGATAGCTGCTCAGCAAGAATTCATGCTTGTGAGCCATTCACACTCTTTCAAGCATTACTCACGTCACAAGATTGTTTTGAGGAGAAAGTCAGAAGGAGAAGAACTTCATACATCCCAGTAAAGTCTAGCCTATGGACACAGAAAAATGAAATTCACCTAACCGCTTATGAACTAGAGTTGACAGAACCAAAGTGAACTAAGAACACAAGGTTTTCACACTGATAATCTTTTGTTAATGTAGAGATGAACAGGCAATGTCACACCTAGGGCAGTGGGCCCCTCAATATGTACCTTGGAAGTTTTTATGCTACCTGTCCTAAATGTTCTAGAAATTACTTGTTACTGGGCAAATATATCTGACAGAAGGAAAGAAAGGTCACCTTGTGCTGATTGGAATATAGGGAGGGCACAAAAGTAATTTTAGAAAATAAAATAAATGCTTTATTTTTGCTGTTTCCCACCCCACCTCTCAAATAACCCAAATAAAGAGAGTGAAATTATACCATCATAAGTGTAGTACATTGTGTAATCAGGAAGATTTGGGATCTAATCCCTGCTTACCGGCCCAAAATGCTGGGGGTTTTTTCTATCACACATGATTAATTCATAAATCTTTTCTCCCTTTTAGAAAATCCATCTGCTTCTCCCAACCAGAGAAGATCTATTTTGGGGGGCCAATCTGTCCAACAACGTTTACCACATCTTTCCTATTACCTGCTGCTTTCCAAGATGTTCACAGAATATTTCAAGTATAAGGGAATCAGCTTCCCTCAAATAATCTATTCTGAACAGGTGTTACAGATGGTGGAAAACAATTTCCAAGTTCGAGATGATGATATTTTCAACGTCACCTACCAGAAATCAGGTAGAAGATGCTTGTGGTCTGCTGAGGGAAAGTGCCATGAATTGGTGGATTAAAACAAATCCAAAAGTCTGGGGGAAAGGGCAGGGCTGGGTGTTGCCATGGATCTTGATTAAGTACAGATAAAAAAGATAACTCTGGTGTTTAAGATCCGTCCTGTTGTCCACATTCCAGTTTGCTTCATCAAACAAACCCAGAGTTCTGGGCAAAGGGCAGGGGCTGAGTGCCATGGACCTGAATTCAATACCGGTAGAAAGGATGAACTTGCTAGTTTAATTTTTTTTTCTCTGTCCAACATGTGGCTTAGCTTTGCTAAATGTTAAGCATGTTATTTTTAAGAAGTATGTATGCATGTCTGTATGCATGCTTTATTGATTGATTCATTCATTTATACCCTGCCTTTCTCCTTGAAAAGATCCAAGGTGGATTATAACATTAAAAGACAATTACAAAGTAATTCATCTCATTTATTGTTCAAAGCTTCCATGTTACACATTGCTATAATACCAGGCGGTTGGTTTTTTTTTAAGCTTCTAAAGAAGCTTCTTTAAAAGTTTTATAAAAAGAAACTCTTATCTCTCCTTATCCTCAAAAATGGCTAAATTCCACAAGCCATTGGCCTGTGGAAAAAGGGGCACAGTCCTTCCACTTGCCTCTTTGTCACCACAACAGAGCACAATTAAGCACTTTAATCATACGGTGTTTATTCTTCCTCCATTACTTAGTGAGGTTACACCTCCTAACTATAAAACTAATAAAAAGTTACAATCACCCAGTAAAAGAAGTAAGGTTATCTCTTATCTAGTTGAAATCATCATGTAAAGCAGTTGTAACCTTCATAACTGACACAAAGGGAATTAATTGCAGTTGACTTATTTGTAACTCATTACTTCAAACTCTGATTTTGTGGTAAGAGGGTTTAAAGAACAAGGGCTGTTGGGATAATTTGGATACAACCAACACTATAATTTGAAGGCACATTATGCACTTTGCTGATGCTAGATCAGGTTAGTAATCAGATCTGAGACTACGTATCATCCCTTATGTACTGCCACCCAGTTTTGTTAAATAAAGGTTGAATATAACAGGGAATAACAGGCTTGTGAGCATGGTGGAGCTCGAGTTTCATAAATATAACACTGCTTTCTTGGGATGGCTTTGGCACTCCTTCTTAGGGACTGTGTGGATGCTGGAGATTTTAAGTCTCATCCGTAGCAACGGTGACCCCACCTGGTGCCAAACAGTCCCCAACTGGGACCGGGCCCCTTGGTTTGAGACGGTGTTAGGATACAGGATTGCTTTGACCAACAAATCACCGCGTATTATTAGTTCTCACCTCCCGGCACACCTCTTTGCAAAGTCCTTCTTCAAATCGAAAGCTAAGGTAAGAGAAGTCATCAACAAGATACACCTTTTCTGCATGTCCTCGCCCTTTCATCACCATTCCTTCTAATTAGCGAACTCTGGTAGATACGTGCTGCCAGGATGGGAACCCAGATGGGACTAGTGGGAAATAAAAAGGAAGGGTCTAGAGAGATGAAACCTTGATTCCCTATCTAGAAACAGTGCACCCTTAACAGAAAATAAATAAATGAATGGTTTATTTTAACACAACGTTGCCTGTATCAACACCAGGCATCACAGTTTCATCTACAAATGGGCTCAATCACACGTGAGAAAAGAACCCCAGTTACACTGAGTTGTTTCATCTCTCTTGTACCAATATATTTTTTCAGTGGTCACGTGGTATATATATCGGTGGGAGCATTTACATTGTTTAGAACTGCATCACTGCATTTCTTTCTATTTTAAATCCTTATAGCAGGCTATACTGCTCTTTAATTTTGTATCAGTTCACTGCATTTCTTTCTATTTTAAATCCTTATAGCAGGCTATACTGCTCTTTAATTTTGCATCAGTTCATTTTCTGTACTGTTTCTTGGGGCAATCAGCCCCCCCCTTGACTTTAAAAAAAATTACAAAAGTGACAATGAATATATTAGTAAAGTGATAAGAGTTTTCTCCTCTTCCCCTTTTCCCTCCCCTCCTTTACTCACTTGTCCCCTTTTCCTTATTTCTCTGCATATCTCTCTCAGTTCTTGACTTTCCTTTTTTCTCCTTTTGAACAGCATTGGGAGGAAGCAGCAGATTTTTTTTTAAAAAACTTGCAAAGTATTGTAAAGAGCAGAGTTTTTTCTTAAAAAAGAGAGGAGATTTTAATGCAGTGCCCTTTTCTTTACTGTTCAAAGCAGAAAATGTCCCTTTCTCAGTTGAAGCCCTCTTTCACTCACAAGGGAGGACGGGCAAGGTTGTCTTCTTCTGAATAATGTATTCATATTGCTTTTGTGATGGTAGCGGTGGCCATTAGTAGCAATTTATTGCTATCCCTTGTTTAAAAAAGGGTACAAGCACAGTGGTTATAAAGTGGCCACAGCACCCAAAAACCCAACCCCTTAGCAAAGGAAATAAATTGACAGCAATGTTCACACATGCTGAAATGATAAGGAATAAAGCAATCCATGATCGGTATAACTTAAAACAACCCTCCCAGTGAGGAAGAAATAAACCAATTGCCGTGGCAAATGAATTTATGTCAGCCATGTATCTTGGGAATGGAAAAATTGAAAATTATGCAAATAATGGCAAAAATGGCATAACTGGGATTCTTTTGGCAAACAAATATAAGCAAGCCCTCAGGCTCTGTGTCAACAATAATTTTAAATTTTGAGAGATAATGTTGTTAAGGCGAGGAAATGTGCATTAGCTGTAATGTGTGACCTGACCCACATAGAGTGACAAGCCCACCGTTAACCTTGATATATGAAGTATAATATATATATTTTTTAAAAATGGGAATAATGAAGAGCAGTCCTGATGCTTCTTTGGAATAGGAGTGAAAATAGTCTATTTGCATTCTAATACAATTTACAATGTCCTGCGATGGGCATGGTTAGCTGTCAGACTCCCAGGATTAGAACACTCCTTTTAGTGCAGGAGGTACTGTGTTTCCCCAAAAATAAGACAGGATCTTAAATTAATTTTTGGTCCAAAAATGCATTAGGGCTTATTTTCAGGGGATGTTTTGTTTTTCCCCCCATGTACTGTACAACAATCTACATTTATTCAAATACAGTCCTGTCATCTTCTTCTGGTTGCTGTACAAGGGTGGAGGGAGGGGCTTCACTTAACTTGGGCTTACTTTTGGGGTAGGGCTTATATTATGAGCATCCTGAAAAATCATATTAGGGCTTATTTTCAGATTAGGTGTTATTTTTGGGGAAACCGGGTAGGACACAGGTCCCCCCCCCACTAGCCTTTGCAGCCCAAGGAGGCATGGTTTTAAGATGGAGACACACAGTTCTCCTTTAAAACAAGGTGCACAGCTCCTACATACCTTGCTGAATTTTTAAAATTGTACTTGGGAAAAATAAAGGAAAGGAAATAAAACAGCAAAGTGAGTGGGTGTGGGGATATGTGCAGCTCACAGATTCAGGGGTTGGAAAATTGGCCTTGGGCCGTCTAGTTTTGATCTTACTTGTACCAGGCTTGCTTTCAGCTAAGGTAATCAGAGGTAGAAGATGATGGAGCACCTGTTCCTTTGACAGCTTACACAGAAGAAGGAATTTTGGGAGACATGGCTTCTCTAACAAGCCCCACCTACTACAATTTCTCCCTTGAAAAAAAGGTGTCGGATTTCTCTCCCTTTCTTTTGTATCTGGCTGCTTCTAATTTCATCCAGGTCTGATGATTTAATTGCAGCAGAAACCTTTGGGTTGCAAGTTGGGCGTTTGATCTTCTGCAGGGGGAGTATATTTGAAAGCTTTATGTCCCTGCCTGGACCGAGTGTCACAGTGAACTTGATGAATTCCCTCTGTTGTTATAAAATGAATAACTCTGCAGAACGACATCCAGGTCTTGCTGCAGGTAGAAAGTAAATTCACACTAATTATGTTTACTGTGCCTTACATGTCTACGGGGGAAGCTTCTTTCCTGCTGAAGAATATATTGCCTGAAGAGTTGAAACGTATCATGTTCATTAGAATTTTTGTCAGTATATTATTTGTGTTACTTACGTTAGTGTATTTTCAGAGACTGGAAATGGTACTCCTAAAGAATACTAGTTTACCTTTAATCATTATGAGTAATGTGTTAGTTATTACTGATTAATAATGAATAGCAAAACTTTTTTATTCATACTCTATTGCCAGTGTTGTTTTTCTAGCATTTTCTAGCAATTTTCAGCATTTTACCAAAAAGTGTTGTTTCAAATTATTTTTTAAACAGAAAAAAATCATTCAAGGCGCTCCAGAGGGTCAGGAAAAAACCCCAAGTCACCTTCCGAAATAATATTTTTATGCAATGAATCAAAGTAAAATTTTAACACTTCTAGCATTCTTATTATGACCTTATTTATTATTCATGTGATTTATATCCCACCTTTCTCCCAGAAAAAAAGTGTCCCTTGTTATTGAAAAAGGAACACTATTACTAGTAACCTCGTTACATTTAATGTGTTACTTCCAATCTCTGATTTATAGTAAGTGTCACTGTTCTTGATTATTTATTAATCGCATTACATTGGTTTTATTCTGGATATTTACTCCTTTGCTTGATTACGGTATTTTTCTCTGGGGGAGTGCCATTACATCGATTTGTGTACATCACTATCTTTACCCGGAGATTCCATGAAGCTTGCAAGCTGTTTGTAGCTCCAGGGTGATCAAAGCAAACCAAGAAAAGAGAAGCTTATGTACCAGCTTGTTCTCATTTGCAGAAATTAAGGATTGTAAAACAATAGGGTTATTCCTTTTTTTTTTTTATCCTGCTTATATCCATCTGTGGCTTTGGAGTTTTGGGCTGATGTGCAGGCGAAAAATTAATCTACTTTCTCTGGTATATCTGCAAACCGTTTTCATATTAGCAGCCTCTGTTGGCCGTTAATGAACTAATTAGTTAGGATGCTTATAAACCAACCTTCATCTAAAAATACCAGGCAGAGAGCAATAATTATAGCAACCATACAAGAAAACAATAAAAGATAATATATATACAAAGGCTTTTTAAACAAAGGAGAGAGAAGATAGACTGGCCCGTGTAAAATGCCTGGACAAAGAAAAAAAGATTCGGCTGAGTTCCAAGATTATGGCAAGATTGATGTAAGTCACACCTGCATGAGGAGTGGTGTTTGACAGGTATGGGACCACCACTGAGGAGTTTTCTTCCTGAACTATCCGAGGAGGGAAGGACACATTGAGAGGACCCTCCCCTGCTGATCTTGAGGGATATGCAAGCTGGTATCAAGCTTTTTCTGATCTTGTGTTCTTTGTCCACACCCAACAACTGGTGCCCAATCCCTTTTGTCAACAGATAATCTACACAGTCAGGAATCCGAAAGATGTCCTGGTATCGCTCTATCATTTTGCCTCGATGTTTCGCCCCTATAAAGACCCAGGCACCTTGGATCAATTTCTCGATGTCTTTCTAAAAGGAGATGGTGAGTGAGAAGTTGTCATTCTTCCTCTTGACAGGAGGGCCCCCTTGCAACCCCATGCCCCCCCCCCCAATTCATGCCCTGTATTGCTTGCTGTTTCAGTGCCTTTTGGCTCCTGGTTCGACCATGTTAAAGGCTGGATGAACTTGAAAGACAAGGAAAACTTCTTCTTCATCACCTATGAGGAGCTGCAAGAGGTTGTTATTATGTTATTTTTACTTTTAAAAAAAGCAGCTTTGCATTTTGGGTGCAGAGTTATAGCTTTTCTTCGGAGGCAGACACTGTTGCTCTGCTGGCAAAGTTAGCTGGAATCTGAAGGTCATTAAAAGTTCCCACACACTCTTCGCTTTGCCATGCAGAATGTGCGGTTGTCTTGGTTTCCGATTTATATTCCTGTCTGGTGCACCCTTTTGCCCTCGTGCAAAGTGCCGTGTGTGTACTTCTCACACCTTCTCTATGTGGGGTTTTGCTCTCTGTGGGCTGGACCACTGACTCTGATTATGAGGTAGAAATTGCCACCTCTTCTGTGTCAAGCAAGAAATCTTTATTTTAATAATTCTTAAAAAAAACTTTTAAAGGTGATTCTAACCAGGAGTAAAAAAACAACAACAAAAAACAGGTTTCTTCCTACATTCTGGTCAATAAGCCAGTGAGTAAATGCTGGCCTGAGGCTTAGACCTCTTCCTTTATACATATCATGCTTATTCTTGGCGGCCGTAGTCATTTCAAATGAAAGGCTTTACAACCTGTATTTATTTGCCTCACAAAAATCTTGGATAGAAGACCTCAGGTTCAGAGAAATTGTTTACCTCCAAGCAGGATGGAAGGCAGAGCAGAAGGATTCATATCTGTCTGCGAGATCAGGCTCCCCTAAATTGAAGATCTATAAAAATCAAACGTGGTTTAAAACCAAATGAAGCATGAGGGAACGCAGCCAAAGAAGAAACCTTGAGCACTGGGAGTCATGTAAAAGCTACGGCAATTACTAGTTTGGTACGAAAATCAGACAAAAATAAAAATGTTCCCTGGTGTGCAGTCATCTTGCCTGAGACATGAAATTTTATGGGGTGGCCCAAATGTTGCCATCTTCAATCTGTTACCCTAAGAAGTAATCATTACCTCTGTTTTGGAAAAAAAAATCCATGAAAAATATATTAAAGAGGGAAAAAAACCCCAAAGAGCTGTACTGTGGGAGTGGCTGTGTGGGAAGCAGACTAAATTCCCAAACATTCGTGACCGTGTCTGCCCCTCTCAAAGAGCCATGGCTACAAATCTAAATTTGAAACCGTTTCAGTTTGGAGGGTTCCGTGTCTGCAACTGTGTGTGCCTCAGGTGTGTATCTTGTGTCGCTCCTCACACAATCCCCTCTTTCTCCTCACTCTCTCCTCTTCCAGGATCTGCGGGGGAGTATCGTCCGTATTTGCCAGTTCCTGGGCAAAGACTTAGACGATGCAGCCATAGACTCTGTGGTGGCGAATGCCTCCTTCGGAGCCATGAAAAGCAATAAGATGTCCAACTTCTCACTCTCGCCACGCTTCCTCATGAACCAGAAGAAAAGCCCATTTCTCCGCAAAGGTGACCAAGAGCAAGGTGACCGGTGGGTGGGTGGACACCAGTCACAAACAGCAGCTATATCTTTGATACTCACATTCTAGACCCCGTGTCATAACATCCCTGAAAGAGAAATTTCCTAGGCCATGGCACCAGTTGCTCAATGTGTGACTGTTTGGGCTTTGAGGTAGCTTCCTCTTCCTTTCTAATCCCTGCTGCTCCTTCGTGGTATCCTCAGATCACCCTTTTCTCTCCTGCCTTCCGAAGGAAGTGCCATATAGTACATTTGGTCCACTGAAGCAGAGCAGCAGGTGTCACCGCCCCTGCCTCCTAGATTAAAGAGGTCACGTTGTTCTGGCACCTAAGGTAGGGCAGAGCAGCAGGTGTCACCTCCCCTGCCCCCTAGATTAAAGAGCACAGTACCCAAAGGAGGTCACGTTGTTCTGGCACCTAAGGTAGAAAACCCCACACTCAGTTCTTACCCTCCTTGCAGCAGGCAGATGGATGGATGGAAGGATGGAAGGAGTCTTTGCCCTCTATCATTCCTACCAGAAGGAATCTTTCAAAACCTTTTTGTTTTTTTTCTAAAAAGTACAGTACATCAGCTACCCTGATTGGCTTTAAAAAGCTAAACTTTGCTTTTTCCACAAATGAGCAGAGGAAGTATTTAATTTCCCAATATCATTAAGTGGTTAAGCTTAATAATGTTGGGAAATTGAAACCAAATGGGAAATGTAAAGCAGCAAGCTCCACTTTATTTCAGTTCCATCGACCACATGTACTGGAAATGAACCAAAAGGGACCAATCCTAACATCAGTAGCCACTGACAGGAAACCAGAAAAGTGCAGGTAGGAACAATCAGGGGATTGGCTGGTTCACACTGGAACTTACATCATCTGGTCACCAGCAAAAGGAGCAAACCAATCTGTCCCCACAGAGGACCAAACAGCAGGACAAATGCCCATGTTGTCACCCCTATGCTTCCTTCATCAGGTCTGTCCACTGAATGAGTTATTTTGTGATTGTTTTCCAGGGATCTCTGGTGATTGGAAAAACCATCTGACCACTGCACAGAGTGAATGTTTCGACCGGGTCTACCAGGAACGTAAACGAGAGCTGAACCTTACATTTCCATGGGACAAAGAATGAAGTGCTGGTTTCTCTTCTGATTCTCTCCCTTACTGGATTGATTAATGACTTGTCAGGATATTAACTGTCTAGCACAATATGCTGTAGCTTAGTGGAAACATCTGGGACGGGATAGTCGGGAGTCTGCTCTCCTGAATTTCATGGGATTAAAATAGGATGTAGCAAGTAAGAATGGGGAGCCATGTTCCCAGAAGCAAATGGGATGTGGTAGATTTACATTCCAGAACGGACCAAATTGTGGCTTGGAAGCCATAAAGGTCTTGAAGGCACCTGAGGCAGCAAGTAAAATGGAAGCTAAGAACAGCAGGATGTGGTCAGTGCCTGATGGGGGAGAGAGAGAGAGAGAGAGAGAGAGAGAGAGAGAGCATCGGATAACCCTTTGTTCACCATCTTGAGTTCCACGGTGGAAGAAAGGTGGGATGTAAATGTAATACTATTAAAATAAATAAATAAATGCTTGCCAGTTTAAAGAAAAATATACAAATTAAGATTATCTGTTTTCAAAAACATAGCTGTGTTGTTCCACAAAAACAAAAACAAAAAAACTTAGAACTGCCGATCTGGAAGGGACCCAATGGATCAGTGGGTCCAGTCCGCTTAAGGAAGCACAGTCGGGAATCAAACTCTAAATCTCTGGCTCCGCAGCCAAAGATCTAAGCCACCAAATTATCCAGCAGTTAAAGTTGAGGTTGTAGCACGTTTAAGTTTGATGGGACTTTTTGCTTAATATTTGCTATTGATGAAACTTGCAAACACAGTTTCACAAAATGAGTCTTCTCATATTCCCAGTTATATGAACAGACAACATGAACAATTATAAAAACAACAAAATGCTACAGTTTGTGCACCCAAGTCCTAGTACCAATGTAGAAGCTGATTGTAGAATTGCAAAGTTCAAGTGTCCCTTTGAATTCAAATTCAGGACATCTTCCTCAATTGGGTTGAGTGACTAATACATATAAGAATCAGCTCCACGTGTGGAATCTTCAGAACCCTAGAACAAAAATATAAATTCAAATTATGCAATTTATGAATTTGCTACGTGGATTCACCCTTCCAGCATAAACATAGGAATCATACCTAGACCAAGTTGGCAAGGGTCTTAGCAATTTAAGGGCCTCTTCAGGTCTTCCGCTCTTTCTGTTCCAAATCTCTTACTCACAGCCCAGCTCTTATTCCCACCCCTTTCGGCTGTACTAATATTTCAAAAGGGTTACAACTGGGATCCTTCAGTCCATCAGATCTATTTTAGCACAATCCTTTGTGGTTCACAGCTAGCTACTGTCTCGGCTATATCTGAAGGTCATGAAGAAGAAGGAGAAACCATGGTCTCAGGATGTAAACCAAAATAACACTTTATTTTGTAGATGGTCTTCTTTTATTGCAATTATACAGCCTTGTGTGTAATTGTAATAAAAGAAGGAACAACTCAGTTATCATTTTGGATGGATGGAGGGAGGAAGGGATGGAGGGATGGATGGAGGGATGGCAGAAATATTACAGCATAGCCCTGCATTTAGTGCTCACTAAAGACCTCCCTCCCTTATTTTTAATGCAGTTAGTTGTTTAGGAATACCAGCCTGGTGGTAGACAAACAGCAGTACCTCCAGTTGGTGTAATAACAACAGCTGAAGAACCACACATTCCTATTGCTGACAAGCGTCCGGGCCATAACTGCTTGTTCTTTTGCCCTTCCAAGGGAACTATAAGAGACATGACACAGGACGCGGGAAGACATACAACTTGGGCCTATAAACCCTTAAGAGGCAGGCAAGGCAAGGATTTGGACTTTGCCTCCCTGAAGCTCCAGGCAGCTCAGTCAATAAACAGTGAGGGACTGGGGAAGTCCTTATACAGCTGTTGGTATGTTGAGGAGGCTGGAGCAGAGGAAGAGAAGATTGAATCAGTTGTTATCCTTACACATGAAAGCCAAGAGAGGCATGGGCTAGCTTTCATGCTTGGAAGCCACATCATGCTCAGTAGAAAACCGGTGCACCAAAAGTGGCCTGTGTAGAGCTTAGAAGAGTTCCAAGAATCCTCCAGCTAGGGAACTGTAATCCAAACATCATGTTTTTGTAAGCTCTGGGACCAGGTGCCTTGACGCCTCCTCCCTCCCTTGACCTTTCTATGGACTCTTCTGGTAGACAGTGCTTCTCTCTTGGTCATTGTTGATATTACAGTGGTGCCTCGCTAGACAGTTACCCCGCATGACAGTTTTTTCGCTAGACATTTACTTTTTGCGATTGCTATAGTGATTCACAAAACAGTAATTCCTATGGGGGAATTTCGCTGGACAGTGTTTGGTCCCTGCTTCGCAAACCAATTTTCGCTAGACAACAATTTTGACAGCTCTGTCCGTGCTCGCAAAACGGGTGTTTTCGGGACCTAAGCTTCGCAAGACAGCTATTTAAACAACTGATCGGCGGTTCGCAAAGCGGTTTTCCTATGGCCGATCTTTGCTAGAGAACGACGATTCTTCCCCATTGGAATGCATCAAACAGGTTTCAGTGCATTCCAATGGGGAAATGCTTTTCACTAGACGATGATTTCGCTAAACAGCGTTTTCAGTGGAACGGATTATCATCATCTAGCGAGGCACCACTGTACTGTACCTAGTTGATAATAGCATTCCATCGTGTCCACCAGGGGGCAGTCAAATCTCAATTTTTTTGTTAACCGCATCCTGCTGGCTAAGATTTATTCTCAGTTAAATCCCACCCCCCCAACCCTTCCCTTCCTCAGGTGTTTGCGTCTACATGGTAACAACTTTGCACTTTATAATTATTTCGGATGCCCCAGTTTCTCTGTCCCTGGCTTTTGTGCTGGGAATGGCTATCCCCAAGGGAGCTGTATTTGATAAGGTCACTCTAGCCATCTATTTCTGTCCTGGAGAACAGAAATCTTGAAGCAGTATATGCTGCCTCTTTGTAAGGTTGGCGAGCAGACTGGTGCAGCTCCTGCTGAATCTCCCAAGTGGTAATTAAATTAGCTTGAATATCGAAGTGCCGTGGGGCAAACGGTGAAATGTGGGAAGGGGGGGGAACAGTTTATATGGCGCAGTCAGATCACCACTTTTCATCATGTCCTCAAATTACTCCCCTTGCTTGTTCAACAGAGTTGTGTGACTTGCTTATATTTAAAGCAAGAAGTCATCAAGACTGCTTTCTTGCTAAGAAGACTTACTGTATTTTATTAGCGGTGGAGAACCAATGCTTTGTGAAACATGCAGACATGAATACACAGAAAACCACTCTACAGTGAATTAGGCCACTGTCCCAACTGTCTCTCTTTTTCAGAGGGTGCAGTCCTCAACTCATGTGGGCTTCGAGGACCTGCTAACTTGCCAGGACTTACTGCCTCAAATTGGGAGTGGTCCCACAATTTCATTCCCTCGTCAGACCTGCTGCGGGTTATTGATGGCCTTTCACCCACTTTCCGATTACAAAGCTGACAGAAATCAGGACGGGAGAATATAAAAGTCTCCCCTACCTCAGTATATATGTCGGCTCACCCTTTGTAGGTTCAGGCACACCATCTTCTACAATACAGCACCCGTCCGGTTTTGATTCTGGGTAGTGGCAGACCTATACTTTAAAACTTTTAATGAGAGCTCAGTGATTAAGGTTTAGGTATCTGATTGTGGAGCCAAAGGTTGGGAGTTCAGTGCCAGGCTCTGATTCCTTGAGAGGGGCTAGATTTGATGATCTATAGAGTCCCTTCCAGCTCTGATGATGGTGGTGGTGGTGATGATCTATTCTCTTGCAGTGAACACTGATTCTACAAGCCAACAACTAACTTGGAAGTAACAACTTCTGAGCTCCAGCACAGAGACTCACTTTCACTGCAGTCTAATTGTCACTTAAAGAAAAGTGGAGACCAGCGCTTACAAAAGCTACTGTTTAAGACAAAAACTTCCAGGTCCTTCAGCCAACATAGTTACTGCCGTTGTCATCCCCAAAGCATTTTTTTTTTCAAAGTTCTGCTGATACATACCCTGTTTCCCTGAAAATAAGACCTAACCTGAAAATAAGGGCTAGTCTGATTTTTTCAGGATGCTCATAATATAAGCCCTAAAATAAGCCCCAGTTAAGTGAAACCCCGCCCTCCACCCTTGTGCAGCAACCAGAAGAAAATGACGGGACTGTATTTGATTAAACATAGATTGTTGTACATGAAAAAAAAATCAAACATCCCTTGAAAATAAGCCCTAATGTATTTTTAGAGCAAAAATTAGTATAAAACCCTGTCTTGTTCGTGGGGAAACACGGCAGAACTCACTTAGCTTTCTCCTTACTCTCCACTAATACTTCTTCCAGCCTATTGCCATCCAATTGCATCCCTCATTATCTTGTTTCCTCTGCTTATTTAAGAAATTGTTTATTTTTTTTTGTCTTGCATAATATGCTAATATGTTCAACAACACTCACATGTTATACTAGCTGCTGGGTGTCCCCATTTAGGACCTACTGTACGTTAACGATGATCTCCCTTCAAGATGATTCCAGGACCAGCTGTCATAGGGCACAATCGTGGATTATCTAGACATTTTAGGTCTTTGCCCTGATCAGGACAGGCATTTGGCCACTGAGTGTGAAAGTATTTGAAGTAATCCATCTCTATAGGATTCCTTTCTCATTTGGATGCCTCCAGTTTCATTCTCCATTTAGTCAGCAGGACGAGGGCATGTCCCCAGCAATGAATTACTTGGGGGCTTAGTATTGCCACCCACGGTGAATCTCCAGGGAAATCAACCCCTTTTAAGATTTCTAATAATGATAATAATAATGTGTCACCAAGTCAATGCTGACTTATGCCTTGTTTCCCCTCTTCAGAGTTTTCCAGGTAGAGAGTGCTTAGAAGTGGTTTGCCATTCCCTTCTTCTGGAGGCGCCCTGAGACTGTGCAGGTTGCCGAAGGCCACACAGCCTGGCCCTCCTCTCTGGAGGCATAGTGGGGAATTGAACTGCCATTCTCTGGCTCTGCAGCCAGATATCCAACTCTCTGAATTATCCAGCCAGCTCTTATTCTAACTTACTTGAATCTACTGTATTAGAATAGTATAATAGAGTCCCCTCTTTGATGCTACTACATCCTTCCCTGATTTACCTAACTCAAAATCCGGTTTTGTTTCAGAGACTTGTAGCATTGCCATTTTTGTTGTTGTTTAGTCATTAAGTCGTGTCCAACTCTTCATGACCCCGTGGACCAGAGCACGCCAGGCCTTCCTGTCTTCCACTGCCTCCCGGAATTAGGTCAAATTCATGTTGGTCGCTTCAATGACACTGTCCAGCCATCTTGTCCTCTGTCGTTCCATTCTCCTCTTTCCTTCACACTTTCCCAACATCAGGATCTTTTCCAGGGAGTCTTTTTTTCTAATGAGATGGCGAAAGTATTGGAGCCTCAGCTTCAGGATTTGTCCTTCCAGTGAGCACTCAGGGTTCGTTTCCTTCAGAATGGATAAGTTTGTTCTCCTTGCAGTCAAAAGCATTTCACAACTCAAAAGCATCAATTCTTCAGCGGTCAGCCTTCTTTATGGTCCAGCTCTCACTTCCGTACATAGCTTTGACCATGCGGACTTTTGTTGGTAAGGTAATGTCTCTGCTTTTTAAGATGCTGTCTAGGTTTGTCATCACTTTCCTCCCAAGAAGCAGGCGTCTTTTAATTTCATGGCTGCTGTCCCCATCTGCAGTGATCATGGAGTCCACGAAAGGAAAATCTGTCACTGCCTCCATATCTTCCCCTTCTATTTGCCAGGAGGTGAGGGAACCAGAGGCATAAACATGCTTATATATGGCATTTTCCCCCAGCTGTTACTGGTGCATACATTTTACGTCTCAGGTTTCTAGGCCTCTTCAAGGCTATCATGGGTTACTGAATGTTCATGCCTCATTTCCCCTCTGTCCCATTTGGGCAATCTAAAGCATTTTCCCTTTCATCCCTTAGGGATGATTCATCCCAAAGCGGATGCTTTTCATTTCTTGTCAGCTTCCCCCCAGGGTTCAGTTTAAAAGCTGCTTGGCTATCTTTTTCAAGTTAAGTGCCAACAATCTGGCTCAGTTTCAGGTCAACTGTAGTCCGTCCTTTTTGCACAAGCCCATTTTCTCTTAAAATGTCCCTTGTGTCTAAGAAAGCTAAAGCCTTCCTCTCCATACCACCTTCCCATCTGTGCACTGGGCTCCTTAGGTTTATCTCTCTGATTGGCCCTGTGCACGGAACAGGAAACATTTCAGAGAAAGCTACCTTGAAGTCCTGGTTTTCAGTCTTCTATCCAGTGAATGAATTAAGGGTACCAACATTGCACCATGATCGCTCACTTGCTCCAGTGCTATTGACCAGACTATTGGAACGACATAGGATGTCCACAGCCTTTAAACCAGAGAGCGGATTGATTCTCCAGGGGGGTCTACGTACGCATCACAAACCCAGATGTCTACATTCCTTATGATGGGATCTACTGCTACCACAAATCCTGCGTGGCCATATTCTTTGTACAAGAAAAGATCTGTTCGTCTACCATGGTTACTTCCCCAAAGGGCCTTTTCTTTCAAGTGTAGCTCCTCCTTTTATGAAGATGCTCCTTCTCTATGGCTGAAGAGAAGCTGCCATTTTGGTCATGAAGGCTAGAGGAATCTGGGATTTTTAGTGCAAAAAAAATCCCCTGTCCCAACTTCCTCCATTTCCACTGAATATCTTATCCAGTAGCTTCTCTCCCTCTTTCATGTCAGCAGCATTGGCTTCAAGGAGACAAACGTAATCCACAAGGGCCCGGAACATATTGCACTGACCCACAAAATCTATCCAACAGGCAGGCCACCGTTCATCAGATGCTCAATACAGGAAACCAGACGCTTTCCATTCTCTGGGAGTTCCACCTCTGTGCTGGATTTTTATTAGTATATGCCAGAAAGAACTAAATTATTTAGCAGCAGAAAGTAGGATGGGGGTGATGAATGTCTCAATTTCTTGGCTGTATTGCTAAACTTCTGCGAGTTCTCAAGTTTTGTAGATGTTTGGTTCCTTTTATCACCGAGGCCAGAAGTCTTCAATGCTGGGATTCTTCCTTAGGTCGAGTGAGCGTGGCTCCTTTGCAAGTGTGTCCTCTCTTCACACCTCTGCCTGCCTGGCTTGTCCTGACTACAGAAGGCCCGGTTCCAAACATGAGGGGAGGGTGCATGGCTCCGCTGCTGTGGTTTGGCTGCCTGTGGTTTGAATGGCTTCCCTCTCCTAGGACTACAACTCCCATCAGGCCTAGCCAGGAAACTTGTTTTAACCTCGCTTTTCTCCTTCGGACCCAAGTTGTGGAATCCAAAGGGCCACACCTTCCTCAGCCTGCCTGTATGGAGTGAAAACAAGGTAACAATGGCATGGCCCTCTCTAGATCACAGCTTGGAAAAATATTTTTTTATGGAGACTTATGAATGAGTGCACGGGTAACAATGGCATGGCCCTCTCCAGATCACGGAAAAATATTTTTTATGGAGACTTATGAATGAGTGCACCACAAAATGTCATCAGTAGCCCTACTCATGTTTCGTAAATCAAAGCTGTGGTTCCTTTATTGAGTCATTCAATCTCATATTTGGCCCCCCTCTTTTCCTCCTCCGCTCAACTTTACCAGAGAATCTTGCCTTCTCGTGATATGCACAAAGGAGGATAGCCTCAGTTTTGTTTTTTGCTTCCAGAGATAATTTACCCTTGATTTACTCTAGGACCCACTTGTTCATCTTTCTGACAGTCCAGAGCATCCACAAAATTCTCCTCCAGCACCATATTTCAAATGAATCAATGTTTTCCCTGTCAGCCTTCTTTACTGTTCAGCTTTAACACCTGTAAATAGTGACTGAGAATACAGTACAAGCATGTGAATGATCTTGGCTTTGGTGTCCAATGACATCTCTTTACACATGATGTTTTTTCCCCCAGTTCTGTCATTTGTGATCTAGTTGCATTTAATTCCGAGTTTGGGAAGGGGGAAAAAGTCAACACACCTTTTGATTGGTGAGTGCGTCTGCCTTTAAAGTTTTCTCTGCTGTCAGAAAAACAGCCAGGAAAAGATTGCAAAAAGTGTAAGCAAACTGGAAGGGAAAGAAGATTCAGCTACCCAATTTGTCCTTTCCTGTTGTGGTTTAAATCCTCCCTTCAACAATTTTTACTATAATAAATTCACTGTAACCTGATTTGTGCCATGCCAGTCTAGCTCTTGTTTGACTCTCTCCTCACAAATCCTGTTGAAGAAATTTCACTCCAAGGAAACCAAGACATGTTTTATTTTGTTTTATTTTATTTTATTTTAAATTAATTCTATTCATCTGTATTCAAAAGGTGGAGTCTTTTGGCAATAACATTCATTCCTCTCCTGCTTCCCAGCTGAGGTTCTGGAAGGTCATTCAGACATTTTCATCATATTCCTGTGTATTTTCTGCTCTCCCAAACCTCTTGGGATATATTGAGAGTTGGGAGGGGACCCTTTGTCTTTTCCCACCCCGATTCCCTCACGATTAACACAGAAAGTGGGGTGAGGTTCCACACGCATGTCTCTGTCCCCACACAATGAAAGAAGCTCAGGTTTGTGGGGTAGTTCCCATGACTCTTTGTATTGTCCTACAAACAGTCTGAGGTTCAGTTCATTAGCATTTGGAGGGACAGTCCCATTTTGATTTTTGTGCCCCAAGGGCCCTGAGGTTTACAGACAGTCCCACAAGTATCTTGGAGGTATGACTGGACATTCTAGGAACTGTCTTCTATGAGTATACGCCCAACGAAACATCTTCAAGGTACGTGTGTTGTTTGGGTGGGTGGCAGCCTAGCTTAACCTGGATATCCAGAATTTGGGAGTACATTCTGTCTTCCATAACGTTTGGGAACCTATAGAGGTTTTGATTCTATGGACTGCCCAGAACAAACATGAGTGCCCTTTGGAAAGAAAGGAAGCAATATCAGTGGTCAAGTTTCTAGTTCTGAAGTGTCTGCCCCTCCCTCCATTTCTTTTTAAGACATGGCTGTTTAATTGGGAGCATGCCACACTCCTTAACCTGCTGGTGTTTTCGTAAACCTCTGGAAGCCATATTGAGACCATTGTATTCCAAACACCCTTGAGGTAAAACCTCCTAACTGTGGGTTCACAGGGACCCCTGTTATTCCCCTTTTGCATGGTGGGAGGCAAACGAGTCACCCAGAGGTGGGAGGTTGTAGCTTCCTCAGTTAGACATCACATTTTGAGGGAGCAACAGCAGCCACCCTCAAACATTCAATGAGACAAAACATGCTGCAACGGACCTCAGCTACACAACTGTTTTGGGAGGCCGCGTACCATCAACTGCAAAAGAGAAGCGGGCGGGGGGGGGGTAGAGAAAAACACAGGTGAGGTAAAGGATTTTGTACTTCCTCAAACCTTATTTTCTGGAGCTATTCCTATTTGCCAACAACAATCTGTTTTCGATTTGCTATCCCTCCTTTGTCTCGATTTTGTGGAAGCACAGAGGCCAAATTACAAGTTACACAAAATGTGTACAGTATTTGCATTTACACAGGTATGTGTTTAAATGCAAAGTGTACCAAATATCCCTCATTCTAACACACTTGTAGAGGACTGTATCAGTCAAGCCATACATTTGAATTGTGAAGGCTATAATATCCATCCATCTAACCATCGTATGAAGATATTTGAATAAGGGAATATCTACTATATACAAATCCCTCCCATTTCTACAGCACCTTAACTGTCACTTCAGTGGAATAATCCTGTTTATCTATTTTAGCCAAAAGAAAGAGGAAACTTTAAAAATGTAAGCATTTTACAGCAGAGGCAGGGAGCTACAGAGACTCTAGAGTTCCACCCACCTCATTTTCTACATTCTCTCGCCCTCCGTGGACCTCACCCTCAAAGCTGGATATTCTCAGACATTTACTTTCATTTGAGAGGGAGGCTATTTGAGCCTGTACTCTTGTCCCACACAATTCCCATTCTCTATATTATGGCATGTGCTTTTGTGGACTACAGCTTGATTCATCAGATACATAGAGGACACAGTCCATGCCAGTGTCAGCCAAAATCATGCATATCTCACTGCTTATAACAACTCCTCAGGTAGTTGTTAAGCTGCCATTTTATCTGCTGTGACACTCAGATGAAGGAAGAACAGTTATATGGAATGCTACTTAGTTAAACAATCATCCAGGGATGAGACTACAGCTCCTAAGTATCTGAGAGCAGTAGGATAGATCAGCAGGCACGAGGCAGGCTTTCCACAAGAGTTGACCTTGGTCTCAGAGACCCAGGTTCAAGTCTCTTCTTGGCCATGCAATTGTTTTGCTCAGTGGCCTTGGGTTGAATACTCTCAGTCTAAACCTACCTCATAAAGTTTTCATTAGGATAAAAATAGAGCAGAACAAGGTAAATCTTAGAATTGTTGTAAGAAAGATGGGAGGAAACAGTAGGAAAAAAAACAATCTACCACCCTCGGTGTCTGACTCTCTTTGCCTAACAATGGAGCAGACCTGCAACTGAGAAAAACAACACTAAATATGACATCCTATGGGGAGCTTCAAGGTGGCAGAAAGGCTTAAGGTTTGGGTCTCCTTGCCATCAAAAACACAGTAGATTGGTGAGTAAACGAGGCATGGGTTTTTAGTGATGCCATTAACAACCTGGAACAGTCTCCCTAAAGCAGCTCACTGCTTGTTTTTAGAGAGTGCCCATGAAAATGGTTAATTTTGTAGATCAATATTTGTCCAACTTCGTAAATTGCAAAATCTTCCTTCCACCTTCAAATCTGCCATCCCCGATTATTTTATTTGAAATCTGAAATAGTTCACTTTTGATTGGGAGAGGCAGGGGGAAGAAGTGGGTAAACACCGACCTACCTGCAAAACCCACCTCTTGGAGGTGGGGGGAAGGTTAGCTTTTGGCATGTAGATAGTTGTGGATAGTTTGTTATGGGAACTTTGGGGACAGTGGCACCATCCACACACACAAAAATTCCACACTACAGCACAACTCAGAGATAGACAGATGAAGGGAAGATAATAGTTGTACTACTACTGTACATGATAGGATGATGTGTCCTAAGAAAATATTAAGTATCCTTAGTTCTTGTTATTTTCCAAATAAAAATATGCTACTATAATATTGAACATACTGAATATATTAGGTGCTTTCAAACAACACATGCATCTCCTGGAATCCTGATACACTCCCCATGGAAGATACCATTAGAACTGCCAGATCCTCCAGCAATTCTTGAAAGGCTGTTTTACAGAGGAGAGGAAGGATCTGTTCTCAATCATCCCTGAGTGCAGGACATGCAACAACGGGCTCAAGTTAAAGGAAGCCAGAATTCAGTTGAATATCAGGAAAAACGTCCTAACTGTTAGAGCAGTACGGCAGTGGAACCAATTACCTCAGGAGATGGTGAGTGCACCAACACTAGAGGCTTTCAAGAGAAATGAAAACAGCAAGCAGCTGGTGGATATCCTTTGATTTGTTTTCTTGCTCTGAACAGGGGGTTGGACTTGATGGCCTTACAGGCCCCTTCCAACGTCATGATGCTATGATTCTATGAACTCTTAGGGAACAGCTTTGCTGCTCTGGGTGGTAGAACCGTCACTATTGCAGAGCAAGTGGGGCTTTGTCTCAGGTCACTGAAATGTAGATGGCTGAAAAATCCTCACTCAGGCATCCGTTTATTCCTTGGCATTGGTCATTCTGCCTTAACATGACTTAAACTTCCACTATTTTTCAGGAGATCATGTGGCTGTGTCTCCTTAGTCTGTGCCTCAATTCCCTCAAGCCCCAGGGTATCTCCTACATCCCCCTTTCCTTCCTGCTTCCCATCTCTCCTAGCTTGGACTAGGCTAACAGCACACATTCATGCAACGGGGCATTTAAGGAGTGGTTGTACCAGCTCCACAACCCAGTGAATGTCTGTGGCTGAGTGGGGACTTGAATCCAGGGCTCTTGGATCCTAGCTCATCACTCCATCCACTACATCACACTGGGTATCTTGTTACTGCTACTTGTCAGTTAAAATTAATGCCTCTGGGAAAGGGGTGTTTAAAATTGGAATTTGTTAGCCTATCCACTACACCACACTGGGTATCTTGTTACTGCTACTTGCCTCTTTTATGTCTCTCATCTTATTGAAGATTAATTTAGCTGATTCCTTTTGATTTGCTTTTATCACTCTCTATTATTTCACAGTGGCTGTAAAGCTTCCCTAGATATTTCTTAGAGAGGTGAGATATACATCTTGAAAAGAAAGAATCATCACATAAGTGGACTGGAAGCAGTCAGAGCACAGGCGAAGCAATTTCACATTGCCTACCATGTAGCCGGTAGCTGGCCCCTTTGCAACGTCGAGTGGGACGCCGTGGATCACGGTTGCTCCGAAGGCTTCGTTGTAAGAGGGGCTGAAGTGGTCTTGAGTTGTCACTCATGCTCCGGAAAATTTGGGAAGGGAGGTTCTGGCTGAGAAGACGAAGGGAATGTATCTGGGGAAGAGGAAGGGGACAGAAAGAGGTCAAGTTTTTGTCCTGAGTTTCTTCTGTCTCTTTCTGTGTGACTGTGAGCATGAATGACCTCTATGATACATAGAAATAGACACTATTGTCAGCATAGACTGGTCAATCCAGAAGGGTACAGAAGGAAAATGCCAAAAAAGTGGGCTAGGCTCAAAGAAAAATAATTTTTTGTTGCAAAGAAAACATAAAACTGTTGTGAAGTATTTAAAAGAAAGGCATAATAGCCAGGGAAGAATGGAACTGGGAGCTATCTAGAACACATGAAATTTTTGACATGGAAAAGAATATGGCACTTACAAAATTTAGAGATTAAGTACTTACAGATAAAGCATTGCTTGTCATTACTTCCTTTTTTTGCAATAACAAAAGCATAGCTAAGTTACATTATGACAGCAGTTTAATGAAGACTAAGTTCTTTCCTTTTGTGGTTTAACTGTGACTCATGTCAGTTACTTTTCTAGTTCCAGGTGTGTGCATAGTTATGGAGTGTGTAGTTCTGAATCACAGGCCAGTAAGTTTGGGATTCTGGCCAGCAGGTTTTAGGTTCAGGTTTGTTTCTAAATAACTGAGAAGTAGCAATTTTTAAACTTTTGAATAACTAAAAAGTAACGAGTTGCTCTCATAAATGGTAACTTACTTAACGAATTTTTTGAGAGTCTTGGAACTACAAGTGCAGTTATGACTTCTTAAAAGCATTGTTTCAAATCTGAGCAGATCAAAGGAAACCTGTCCTGCAGGAAGAAGAGCAGGACCATACCTGTACAGAGGTGATGTTGATGGGTCGGTCAACAAGGATCCAGGTGGCTGTCTCATAGCAGGGAGGGGTTGACATGGAACCTTGGTAGGTGATGAAACCAAATGTCTCTGGGTAAAGATCTTCCAGGCTCAAATCATGTAGGAGGTAAGCATCATCTGTTGGGACAGATATACACATGTGCATGTACAATAATAAGAATACAAGAAGGGACCCCTTGCGATCAGAACAAAGACCTGTCTAGTAAAGGCTTCAACCACCCTTGCTATCTTTGGTCTCTAGCATGACCAGCATTCCACCATCTCCAAATCCTACTTTGACACTTACTCTTATATGAGATCCGGGTAATCGTCTCTCTGTTTAACAGCCTGGTTAGGAAGGGGTTGGGGCTTGGTCCAACCTGCGAACAAAAATGAACCAAAGGCCTTATGCCTTGCTTTCTTATTTTTCCAGCTCACCAATTTAGATCCCTCTCTTGAAAAAACAGAGGAGGTAACAATGGACTCACATTAGCAAAGATCGAAATAACAGCCAGCCCATTGGGATTGCGTGAGGCTTCTGAGATGTTGGGGTAGAGCTCTTGGTTGTAGTGAATCAACTGCACCTACAGGTAATGATGAAAGAGAAAATCAGGTAAACAAAGACTTATACATACGTTTTTTAAAAACCTGCTTTTTGCAATTCTCAAAAGGCCTTCAGCAGCTAATCATCAGCACCCTACTTCCTGCACACACAATTTTATGTTCGTCAGCAAACCAGGTCCATCAGGTGCCATGGCAAAGTGAGGGTTTCCTGAATCCTCATCCACCAGTCTACTTACTATGCCATATTGCTGCTCTATTTGTGTGTATGTGTTTTCCTATCTGACTGACTGATTGACTGCTGACATAGAACATGACAAAGGGCAACATACGTTCCGATACATAAAGAAGAACATTTCAGTGAAAGCTTTTTACATCTCTTGATTCTTCTGCTCAAGCAGGCTGGCCTTGAACTTCAAGGGTACCTGCAAAATACATCAGTCTGCCTTTGTAGTTGTTAGGCCTGGTTTACACAAGACCAAAAATCACCTCAGCAGAAAAGCTCTCGCTGTCGATCTGGTGCTCAGAACCGAATCCATCTTCGCTTCCAAAGTGGAGGCGTAGCTCCTGGAGCCGATGGCTGTACAACAGCGGGCCCCCAGAGACATTAACCAGCTGCAGCGGGTCCGGACGAAAGGAGACATGCCGCCCCGTGTTGTACATGGTGCCACTGATCTGCAGAAGGATATCCGATATATCAGGACGTGCAATCTATATGTATTGGTGTACCCATTTAAGAACAGTAAACTTTTAAAACCACAGATGTAGCTTTGTGTTTCCTTTGCAAACCCTGATCCTCAGATTTATGAGCTCTATTTAAGACAAACCTCAAAATTAAAGCACTTACAAATCACCTCTAAATAACTTGTTAATATTAACACTGGGTTTTAAAAAAATTCATTATGTTACTTATTGCTTTTCTTTTGGTTTTTAGTTTTGTTTTAAATCCACCTTAAAGAATAAGGCCCTAAAATGTGTGTGGGTGGAGATCAATATGCCCCCTCAAACACACATTTTAGCGCAGCTAAACATAAAATTATGGGTATATTTTCTCATTACACACAAAAAATCAAAATGTCAGTGGCTGAAGTCCAGTTGCTTAGCATAGTAAGTCACACTAGGGGAAGCCCATGGAATCGGTGGGGATTTGGTGAGTCAGCTTCTCCATACATTCCATCAGTTCAAACGGACCTGCTCTAGTTGTGAGTTACCAAGGATGTTGGCAAGTTCTAGGGTCTGAGTCCTGAGTCTGAGTCTTTGTACTAAATCCTGAGTCCCAAGCCCCTGGTCCCTATTAAAAACAACCCCATAAAAAAGGGTGGGTGGACAGGCTCCAAGTCACCAGTTGAGTCTGAGTCATTGAAAAAACCCAAATCAGATCCCTGGTGGGTCTTAAGTTTGACTTGACAGAGAGTCCTATGACTTTAGTCCCCATCCCTGAGAGCTACTACACTAAAGTTAAGTCACAACTGGAGTGGGCCCATTGGAATCAATGGAAATTACAGAAATATTGATTCACGAGACCCCTGTTTATTCAATTGGCCTACCCAGTGCAACTTACTACACTAAGCCACTGGATTTCAGCCATTACTTATGAATTATAGTCTCTTTACTCCCCATCACATTAAAACATTGTTGCTAACTTCTTTTCTGGTGATGTCTTACTCCCCAGAATACATACCTTCTTCCCACCTGTGCTTAGTCGAAGTGGAGGAAGGAAAGGGTCAAATACCATGTGGCTTGTGTTGATGTCCACAGGTGACTGGCGTTTGCCAATGGCGCACAGACTCCAAGCCGAATTCACGAGACCCCAGAAAGGGGGACCTGCAAAGAGAGCAAGAGAAGACAAACAGGTTTTGGAACAGAGGTCTGCTGGTTTCTAGAGTAGGAGCCAAGGAAATGGCTGTGCTTATCCCTTTGGAGTGCGATTTAGGGAGAGAGGAGAAAGGGAAATAAGGAATCAAGAACAATCTCTCTCTCTCTCTCTTTAAGGCTAAGCCTCAAAGAAGAAAATGGAGATCTGTAGTAGTAGTCGTTGCTATCTTCCACTGCTGGGAGGCAGTGGAAGACAGGAAGGCCTGGTGTGCTCTGGTCCATGGGGTCACGAAGAGTCAGACAGGACTTAACAACTAAACAACAAAGTAGTAATCATCATCATTATCGTGATCTTCATAATCCAGAGGATGCCAGAGTTGAAGCTAAAGAAGTGGAAAAACTAACAAAATACAGAGATCTAGCAATCAAAACATCTCGCTTATGAATGAAACATACCTCAGCGGTCCCCATCATCATCATCATCATCATCATCATCATCATCATCATCATCATCATCATCATCATCATCATCATCATCATCATCATCATCATCAGGGCTTTGGGAACGATATCAAGAAATTTCACACAGTATTATAAGCAGTTGCAGATTTCAGGAATAACATCAACAGAGCTATAAAAATTGGCAATATTAGGAATAGCATGTATACTACATCAATATTCAACAGATACTTAGGTTTTGGGTTAAAACTTGTATCTGTTATATAATACCGGTCAATGCTTTTGTGATTGACTGTGCCTAATATTTAATAATGATGATGATGGAGTGGCAAAGTTAGTGCACTGGTCATTATGCCAAAAAATATAACTTGCCAGCCTCCAAGAACCCGTGGAAACATCAGGCAGAGAAGGTGTCAGAAAATTTGTACATTAAGAGCCTGTGGGATTTCCGGATCCAAGCTGATAGACACCTTGAACACAATACACCAGACATAGTAGTAATAGAATGAAGAAATGTCTGGATCATTGACACTGCAGTACCAAGGGATGCCAGAGTTGAAAATAATGAACTGGAAAAACTAACAAAGTACTGTACAGAGACCTGGCAATCGAAACATCTCGCTTGTGGATGAAACACACTTCAGTGGTCCCTGTAGTCATCGGGGCTTTGGGAACAATCTCAAGAAACTTCACCCAGTACTATAAGTAGTAGCAGATCTCAGAAATCACACAATCAGATCTACAAAAACGGCAATGTTAGGAACAGCGTACTTAGTGTGCCAATATTTAACAGACACTTAGGCTTTTGGTTTAAACTTGTAAAATACCAGTAAATGTTTTTGTAATGTTGACTGTGCCTGGTGTTTCTCGATAACCACCACCACAACAACAACAATAATGATAACAATTAGATTGTCTTGTACTACTAGAACCTGAGAAGTCATCTAATGAAGGTGGACAGTAGAGACTGAAAACAGATAACAGAGATAAAATGTGGAGCTTGAAAACTTTACTTTTGAAAATTACAATTCCTCAAATCCCCGTCCAATGCAGCCTGGAGATTCTGGAAGTTGCTTTTCAAAAAAGTAACATTCTAATCTCTGGATAAAAGAAAGTATTTCTTCACACAACACATAGTTGGACTATGGCATTTGCCACTGCGTGATGTGATGGTTGCCAGTTTGCCTGACTATGACAGGAGATTACACAGATTCATGGCAAAGAAGGCTATCAGTGACTACCATACGGATGGCTATTTGTTGGTTCCATTACCAGAGGCAGTTTGTCTCTAACAGTTTTTGCGAACAGAACAGACTCAAGATGCTTTGCTGCCTGTGGTGAAGCAGGAACACATACATGCACTTGTCATAATGCACAGTCCAAAAATGACACTCAAATAATGTTGGTACATGAAAAATGCCACAAGCAGCGCCTGTGATCCTTTGAAACAAGAATAAAAAGACTGATAAACAAAAATATTCTGCTTTTTCCTGACCCTCTTCCCAGAGGGCAGATGCTTTACCCTGTCTAATGGTAGGGCCAGCCTTTGCTAGGGAACACAGTCACGTAGGGGCTCGTACACATGTCCCATTGGCGGGCGTCTAGTTTGCCACTGGACAAACTGGGGCCACATAGGGCTGGACAAAATGGGCCTTCCACTGGATCCTGCAAGAATCTGCTTCGGCTTTCACACACACACACACAGACACACACACACCCAGTGCCTCAGGACATGTGTGTGAACAAGACTGGTATCAGAAGGGAAAGATCCGGGTCTCTAAATCCTTATAGAATTTCTGGCCTGTCTGTTGGAATTTTGCTCAAAGCATATATGTGTATTTATATATAATAAATGGCTTGGCAGAGATGAAATTTTTGCCAGCGTTCTGTTTTGTTTTAACTATGTGAGTATACAGTATCTTGCCTTTGTCTAGGTGTGCCTGGGTGCATGGATGGGTTTATTATTCTCTCCATCTCTCTCTTTCTCTATGTTTTAATATGGGAGAGACAAAGAGGATTCTACCTAGGCAGTGTGTATATATGCAATTTAGCAAAGCAATATATCTGGTCTGGGCTCTGTGGGTGTCTCTTCATCTGCCTTTGTGTGTGATGGCTTGTTTCATTCCTCCTTCCTGTGTATTTTCAGATCCTCGTCAGTATATGTATACTTAATTGCTTTCTCCATTCTTTCGCTCAGAAGAGGGAATACATTCTCCCCGCTTTCCGTGTTTTATGCTCCCCCGGCAGGGTGATGGAGGGGATAGGGCATGGTGGTTTTTCCACCAGGTCTCCAACCTTCACCACCACGCACCCCCATGCTGTGGCCCCGTTTCCCTTCTTCTTTGCCTTCTGCTCGCTGCATCGCCAGAGCAGGCAAGGGAGATATTAAATATTAATGCAGCCTCTTGCAGTCTCTGAGCTCAACCCAGCTTTCTCCCCCCCCTCTCCACCTCCACCTAGGATCAGCACTGCGTACAGCTGCCGGCACGGTGCAGCAGCGTTCCTTCGTACCCTCCTCCTGCTGTCTCAAATCGAGAGACTACCAAGACATCCCATCGTCCTCCCGTCCACCCACCCTCTGGGACTCTACCCGAGTCGTCCCCAGCCTTCGACGCAGGGGGTCAGGAGTGAGGCATAGATTTCCCCGTCTGGCATGAAAAGGGAGGAAAACGCATCTCATTTGCCATCTGGAAGCTGTGCCAACATTCTGCACCGAGGAAACCCAAAATCCTGAGCTCAGAATAAATTATGCAAATCGACTGCCATTTGCATGCATCTGTTTAACTGGTCTAGCCCATGTAGATAGCAGCACAGGGTTTTCTTTCATCACCAACATACCATACAGAAGGGCTTGGAAGTTTTGCAGGAGTCAAAGCCTGAGATGGGAAGGAGGGAGGAAGACCATATGCTAAGTTTTTTTTAAAAGTGTGGGGGGGATGAAAGAAACATATTATGATTTTATGGTGGGAACAATATATGGATAAGACCAGCGGAAGATATCCTTTGATTTGTATTCCTGGACTGAGCAGGGGGTTGGACTTGATAGCCTTATAGGCCCCTTTCAACTACATTATTCTATGATTGAGTCTATGATTCCATATCCAAAAGCACAGATGCTCTACCTTTTGAGGAAAAACATCCCAATCCTTACCCACACTGTTTTTTTTTCATCTTTTTTCAGCCATTGCCTGCAATCTTATAAAAGATGTTGTTACCAGAGGACTAATCACATGTTTTAAAGCATGGAAAGAATCCTCAATAAAGGATGTGTGAACCCTTTTGTCATTCAAGGGACAAAACTGTCTGCCTCAGCTGATGGCTCTCAGCAAGCCAAACTTTCAAAATCTGAAATGTGGTTCATTTTAAGGATGTATGCAAACTTTTTTTTTCCTTTAAAGGAAGTTTAGAAAGGATTAAGGGAAGAATGTGAGAATGTACTATGCTGAAGGTATCCTGTGTTGCCAACTATCCTAGCTGAAGGACAATTCTACATCCTGCCTGTCTTTCATCTGCCTGCTTTATTCCATCCCGTTCCACACAAATCCTACGTCTTGCCATTTTCTCTCCTCATTCTGCTACACAACACCATACCCCTTTCTTGCTTTCCATCTCTCCTTCCCTATTATTCAGATTTATTTGCCATCCATCCCACTAGAGAGCCACTTTGCTAGATACAATTAAGTCTAGCACACTACTTCCTACACAATGAGGCCCAGGAAGGTTGTAGGTTTGGCATGATGTTGGCTAGATAGTTCAATGAGTTAGGGAACAGCTTGGGAGTTCAGTTCTCCACTGTACATTCCAGAAAAGCCAGCCTCTGTGGCCTCGGGCAAGCTGCACTGTCCTAAAATGCCTCCAGAAGAAGTACTCTATATCTAGAAAACCATGGAAAGGGTCACCAAAAGTCAAAATTGATCTGGTGACACATATTATTGTTAACAGAAGCAGCACCATGTTCTGTTATTTGTCCCCAAGAGGAGGAACAGAAATTCCTTTATTGTAGAGACAATGACAGACCTATCTTTCATGAATTTGTCTTCACTTGAATATTGAAACAACTGTTATTTGACACAGTTCTTTCCTCCCTCAATCTTGTTACTTCAGGAGCATAAGAAGCTGCCTGAAGCCAGATGAAGGTAATTATTCCCCTCCACAACAGCGTCTGAACAGGATCTTTAAATTCTTTTAACTAGACATGCAGCAAAATGCACATGGATCTGTCTGCATGCAAAGCTATGTGCTTTTCCACTGAGCTGTGGTACTTCCTCAGTCCTTCATTCCTGAACCAAAAAAGCCAATGCAGATCCAGTGGCTACGGGTTCCATCGGTCCCTGGCCAACAGCATATTCTTTGTGAGGAGAACATGTTGCTTTAATGGTTAATCAATCAGTACTTGGGCTCTTACCCATAGAGTAAGTCCAATGCATTTTGCCAAGCCGAAGGACACAGACCTGGGAAAGAGCCACCTGGGTTGAGAAGATGAAGACGACAAGCAAAAAAATTGTGATATGATGCTCCCCCCCCCATCACCACAACAAGCAGCCCTTAAGGATTTTGTACCTGGCACAAAGCTACCGTGAAGAGTCTCCTTGTAAGCCCACCAGTCCTCATAGGTCTTTGCAGGAACAAATTGCACTGGAGAGGGAGAGGGAAAGGGTTAATTAATGGGGGGGTCACTGATGAGAAAAAAGACAACATATCTGTGTTTGCAGCCATATGCCATCTCCCCTTCCTTTCCTGCATGGATGGTGTGGTATTTATCATAATTACAGACAAAATAGTACAGAAGGTGAATGAAAGAATGAATAGAAGTTCTAAGAAAAGAAACGCCAGGGTTCAAGACAGGTTGAAGTTTCATCATCAGGTGAGAGGGAACTACTGTACTTGTAGTGGTGCTTACAAGGGAAACCGCACTGCACATGCTCAGGAACCCTTTTGTCTCCACTCTCACATCCATTTCATGCAATGTGTTGCCCAGGCTCAACCCCGGCACCAAGAACCAAACAGGAGGGACTCTTAACCGGGGTAGAAGTTGGGAGGTGGTGGTGGTCGTGGAGAGGTGAGAAAGAAAGAAAGAAAATTAACCCTTGAGGAGTCACAGTGGAGAAAAAGATGCAGAGAAAGGCAGGTAGACAATGAGGAGGGGAGGCACAGAGATTCGAAAAAGGGGGACAAGACAGATAAGAGGGGGGGCATACCAACGGCGGAAAGGGGTTAAGAAAAGTTACTTGGTTTTATACAGATTAGCTAACATCAGATGATGTGCATATACGGGAAGACGAGCAAACAACAGATGTGGTGTGAGTCGATGAGATACATAGACAGACAGACAGACAGACAGATACCTATCCTGATTGCTTTCGTGTAACCTTAATCTTCTCAGCTATTTTATCCGGGGGAATTCCCTTTACACCAGGCAAGCCCCCCCTCTCCCCCACCCGCCCAATCCCAGGCTAATCTTTCCT